TTTTGTTTTAAACTTCCCCGTTTCATGACAACACAATGTGATCTATCTTTTAAAAGGTTTTTTATCAATTCTAAAGAGCCGTCTCCAATCCAAAATACTGTAATTTTGCTAGAAGCAATGAATGGTCTAGAGTATCAAATGCTTTACTAAAGTCTAGTAAGCTAAAACACGTCATATTTTTACCCTTTGGGTACGGAACCCTAAAAAAGCAATAGACATTTGGGTAACGATATTGAAAAATAACATTAATAAATTATGAATAAAATTATAATTAAACAAAAATTATCAATTGTTTGAGACATTTCAGGGTCCAAAAAACGTGAACTATTCCTACTGACTACTCAAAGAATAATATATTTATAATATGTAATTATTTATTAGTCAGAATTGCTGAATTTTGTTTAATATTCTAAATTCCGGAACATACATCTGTGATATCCAGGTTTATTTAAATTTTAAGGTAAGTTTCTAAATTTTGTTGTTTATGTTAGCTTAGCTATTAGAGTATTTTAATTGTAGTAGGTATATACAATTATTGTAAATATTTTGACGAGACTGAAATAAAGGATATAAAGCTCTTGATTTGTGGCTTTAACTTAGAATAATGTTTAAAAGTAGATTTTTTCAAAGTGAAAATATAATAATAATAATTCAAAAATATATATTTTTATTTTTTGTTATAACATTGGACGGATTTCTTATGTTAATGCTAGTGACATGTCAGGTTGTTGATACCTTAAAAGATCTTTTGAATTTGAAAAATAAAATATAACACATTTTATTCTTGAGTTGTTAATATACAAATTCTAATTTTCTAGAATTACTATTAAGATCAAAAAACTTGAAATTATTTAAGCAGCTAACATTTATCTGGAGAATATTGTACTAGTTTGCTAGAGTTTAGTGTAAATTTCTCTGCTGTTGATCTTTCAAACTTTTCAGAATTTTACAGTACCTACAGTATTCTGTGAACTTTTAAATATAGAAATTGATGCAAAATAAAACACATTTCTTAATAACCATTCAGATGTCTAATATCTACTTATATTTTTTGTATTGTATATCTAATCAGTAACATCTGGTAAAAATATTGATTCATCACTTTAAAAATAATGATAACAATGTGATTAAGCATATAATATGACAATTATTTTTTTCGTTTATTATTATCGCAAAATGCTAATCTATGTAATAAACTTTAGTATACTCGTAATTTCAAACGTTTAAGTATTAATTCTATTGACGTAACAAGGACCATATCAGAAAAATAAGTGAGAAAAGCGTAGAAAACAACTTGTGATTACAGGAATTTTTGTGGTGAGTTTAATAAGTGTAAGGTTTTAAATTTATTTGTATGAACGACTATAACAATAATTGAATACCAAACGCTAAAAGCTTTATTTGAAACTTAATCACAATATTTGTCAATGCTAACACAAAAGAAACATATTATGTAGAGCATTAACCCTTTATTTTAAACTTTGGACCCATCTTTAGTTAACCATGTTAGCATGATCAATAGATGATTAAAGAATAAATAGTTTTAGTCATCTGCTGTTGGTGGTAACAGTGAATTAGCATGTATCCAGAATTTAATATAAAGTTTTTCTTGTGAATTGATAGGGTTTTCATACGTTTGGATTTACCGGATATGTTTGGGCTTTTATAGTGTCCGGTCGAAATTTTAAAAAATGTCCAGGGAATCTAACCATAAAAACCACCATAGATATATATACCGGAAAAAGCCGAACCGATCCGAAATTATCAAAAGCTTTGGACTGCGACCGTTGTAAGAATAGCGCCAAAGAGTGTTTACATTGGAGGGCAATGGGCACTTTCCACTCTAAACTTGTTTCATTTATCTATGTTTAAAATTTAAACCGCCCTCATTGAAAAAATACCGAAAAGTGTTCAAAGCGTCAATTCTCACAGTAATTATTGCTATCTTGTGAATTTAATTTAAATTTTACTTACTTAAACCCGTGATAATCGTGAAAAAGTGGCATTAAAAACTAAAAAACTGTGTTGTGAACTGCAAAAACCATCGTGGATCGTGGCATAACGTGCGAGGGTTTGAGATGCAGCGCGAAATTTGTGTAGGTAATAATTCATAATTTTCTAGTTCTGGATAAATGATGAACTCTTGTTGACTTGATTCTGGAATAGATATTTTCAAATAGACAACATATGGTGTTTAGTTTGTAAAATCGTGCGGTTAAAAGAAAACAATTGCTTAAATTTCTAAAAACGTTTAGAGAAAGAATTGACTTAAAATTATATAAAAAAAATGTGAAATAAAGCTTTTAGAAATGTGTATGTGTATATATGTATTTTTATGTTTGTGACATTATTATTTAAGTGTCTTTTGTTGTAGTCCTCTTCAGAAGGGCCAACTTGTTGAGGGTCTTTTCGGGTGTGGAATTAATGTACACTGTTGTTTTTTAATATAACTTAACTTTAATTATGATAAACTAATTACAATAGTTACCCTGAGGAAAACTGTGAAAAATAATAACGTGTTGAAGAGTAAAAAGAGAGTTGAAGAGCAAAAGCAAAAGAGTGTTGAGCAAAAGAAGTATGTGACTGAAACAGGGTTTTAGCAAAAGAGATATGAGGGCCTGTCTTGCAGTTCCTTAAATAATATCTAAGCTACAGAAATGCCAGAGGCGTACAGTACAATTTTTATATCCTTAATCTAATATTCAGAGCAGTGGACGACACTGCCCTAAACTTACATTGTTCAGATAGACAGACGTCTGCGAAAGCTATATAAATTTATGATCAAAATTCCCAACAGTAATAGTTAAAGTTATCAATTAGAATTATATTGTAGGGTCGTTTATGACCTCAAAGGTATGAAGGTTTTTATTAGAGATGGGACATTCCTAAACTAATATTACAAATTTGATTAAAATGAGGACGGGATTATAACACCTCCCCCCTAAGAAAAATTTTTTTCATAACAAAAAAAAATTAAGAGAACAAAAATCGTCAAATTAAACAATAAACAATACACACAATAACTACACTATTCTAAGAGTAAAAGTTTGAAAATAAATAAAAAAAAGTAAAAATACACTGAACATTTTAGTCTTTAATTAGTCCATATGAACCGATGGTGTTCTAGTCGAGCGTCGACCATTTAAGTTTAAAAATTCCACGGCTGAACGATTACTTGGGAGTCCACTTCTTCCAGCTTCTTCTTCCAATATTTGTTCGAATTGGGCCTGAGTTATTGGATTTGGAGTATTAATATTTGTATTAAATAGTTTAATACAGCAACCTTCAGAGAGGGTCTTGGGCTCCTTGGTACAGCATAGTAATCTTCTTAGCAGGTTGAACAGTCCACATCATTTTAGAATATTATACAATAAGATAATCGTTACAATTGAACCAATTGCTGATAATCCAACAGTATACCAGTGTGAATGTTGCACAATAAATGGTTTCTTCAATTCTATGTCTAAAAGATCGTCCAACTGTTTAAGCTTGTGATTAGCGAAGTTCAGTTCATCCAATTTTAAATTTGTTATCTTCACTGGCTCGAGATTTGATGGGGTTAAGTTAAGTTCTTGAATTCTTATAACTTGAGGATATAGATCTTGCATATGAATTCGTCTTCGGTGGTCTTCGTACAACTTGATAGATCCCACATCGCTACGTAATATATCTTACTAGTTTGATTACTGAATTGATTAAAGAATTTTGTATTTATATTTAAAAATTGTTAATTTAAATTAAAACTGTGAATACTAGCTTTAAAATTTTGAATAGTATTTGAAATAATTCTTATTTGTTGTTTCATAGTAAGTTGCGTTTCATGATTAACGGTTAATAGTTATTTTATGGCTTGATCATAAAATTTTGCATCAGGTATACAAACCATCAATTAAAAGCGTATGAAGTGCCATTAAAAATTCCTCTTTTCAAACTATTATATCAAAAATTATCGAAACATGAATCTTCATTACTATGACATAAATTAAAAGATCTTTGATGTTATATTAGAGAGCGAATTTAGTTTATCATTATAATATGATAAATTTAGGTGTGTGAAAAGAATGATTTCAGATCCGGATATCTTTGCATTTCCCAATTTATGGTAATATATTCCCGTTTGTCCGGGTAGATAAGTTATATGATAATTAGAAGTGTTAGAGGGTAATGGAAAAAGTACAATAAGGTATAAAAATAAGGCGAACATTTTAATCTGAAACAAAGGGTTTTATCATGTTAGTATGATAAATAATATGTCTTTTCCCAATTTCAATTTGAACATTTTTTTCATTAAGTACTTTTGTTATTCTATACGGGCCTTTAAAATTAGGGGATAATTTTTTGCTTAACCTTGGAGAAATTTGTTCATTTAATATATATATTAGGTCATTAGGTTTATAAATAGTCGTTTTAATTTTTTGATCGTAATATTCTTTTGATTTAAGCTTTGATTTAATTATATTTTCTTTCGCTTGGGTTTGTGTTAAATTAAGTTTTTGTTTGAGACTAGTTACATAATCATCGTATGAATAATTAAATTCTGGTTCTTGAGTTAAGGTAGTTGGAAGGTAAGCTTTATTACCGAATAATAATTCATACGGTGAAAAATTTGTTGAAGTATGAATATGTGTATTATACGCAAACATTGCAAATGGTATAAGTTCATCCCAATTATTTTGTTTATTATTTATATAATGTTTAAGATATTCCTTGAGCGTAATATGCGATCGCTCAAGAGCACCGTTTGTTTGAGGGTGATATGGGCTACTGGTTAAATGCCCTATTTTAAATAATTTAAAAAGTTCTTTAATTAATTTGGACATGAAATCACTTCCCTGGTCAGAAAGGATTTTAGTTGGTATTCCGAACAGTACAATGAATTTAGTGAGTTCATTCGCTATAGTATGCGCTTCGTGATTTTGAACTGGAACAGCGTACGAGTATTTAGTTAGGTCGTCTTGCATTGTAAGAATAAATCTGTTTCCATTCTCGGTAATGGGTAATGGACCAACTATATCAATCGCTAATCTTTCGAAGGCCTTTTGGCTGGTGGATGTAATTTCCATAGGGACCTTATTTGGTTTATAATTAGTTTTATTTATTTGACACGAAGGACAGCGTTTAATATATTTTTTAATATCTTTCTTCATATTGTTCCATTTATAATTTTCCTTAATTCTCTTATAAGTTCTAGTATAGCCAGAGTGTCCGGCTAATTTAGAATCGTGATTTTCTTTTACTATTTGTTCAATCTCTTCCCTAGTCTCAGGTTTATACTTTTCTCTATTAATGACATGTACGTTAATATTGGTATCTTTAAATAAAGAATGAATTATTTTGTAGTACATAGATTTTTTTAAATGTGTACAATAAAGTGAAATGTCAGGTAAATTTATTGTTTTCATATCATCTTTTATTAACTGAGTTCTTAAGTTACGTAGAGAATAAAATACATCCTTATAGCTTAATTTATCAATATGAAAATGTTTTGTAATCATTAAATAGCATAATTTATTATGATTTTTTAATTTGTAAATTGAATGTAAATTAGGGGATATTATCTGATTAATATTGCTGTGGAAATTATATTTAATGTGTTGCGAAAATGGATTATTTTCGTCCAGATCTGAAGAAAAATAAATAGCAGCAGGTAAATTATCGAATAAATTTGAGTTTTTAATATCAAGTTTCGGGGTAATTTCTGAGGTTTGATAATGATATTTAATAAAATTTTGATAATCGTCGCCTTTAGATATTATAGTAATGTTGATATTTCGTGATAGAGCATCTACATTAGAGTTTATTCTGCCTTGTTTATGGACAATCTGAAAATTTTGTTGTCCAGATACATTTTGTTTTTTCGAATATCTATAAGTTTGAACGGATATTGGTTTTTGATTACTTAAATTAATTTCGTGTTTCATAGTTTGAGTACAAGTTAATTTATTGCCAGGTAGGTGAAAAATATCATTATATTCCGTACATAAATTTAAAATCTGTTCTTTTTCCTCAATATTTAAATGTTCTAGTCTAAGGTTTTGATTTAATAATTTATTTCTGCTAAATAAATCTGTTGAATTAGTAAAGATATTAAGAGTTTTAGCATTATTATTTAATGGTTCTAAATAAACTGAAAATGGTTTTAATTCGTATTCCGTTACTCTAGTGTTTAGAATTGTAGCAAAAGCTTTTTTATTAGAATTGACCTTAGTAATAGCTTTTGATAAGTAAATACCCCTTTCGAGTTCTAGATTAGGTAATATTCCTTCGTTTAAATCAGAATTTAATACATTAACTTCAATAACAGTTTCTGTTCTGGGCTTTAAAATAAGATAATTATTATTATAAGGATTAATATTCATTTTTAGATGTAGCGGAAAAGGTAGCGAGTCAAGAGAGAATAATTGCTTTTTTAAATCAATTTGGGCGTTTTGTGATTTAATAAAGTCGTATCCGATCAGACCGTCATAAGGGACGTTTGTTTTCTGATTAAGAATATGGAACTTTATTTTCAATGTATGATTCCTAATATTAAATGGAATTATAGTACTACCCGCCGTTAATACAGGAGAATCTGTACTTAACCGTGTAAGGTTAATTTCTCGCTAGGAAAAAATTTAGTAATTTCAGGATTTAACTTATCTAATTTGATTAAAGATACACTAGCACCTGTATCTAATAAAAATCGAAATATTTTATCTTTATTATTAGAAAAATCAGACTTAAATTCTAAAAATATAGAGTTGTTATCGTCACTAAGAATTTTTAGTTTTCGAAGACCTGTAACATTTTGATCGATTCCTCCAGAGGGGTCTTCTCCGCCAGAGGAGCATGGGAGTTTAAAGATAGTTGATTATTTGTTACGGATCTAATATTCGATACTTCATTAGGTATTTGATTCTGATTCGATACCCTGTTAAAATTTTTATTTTGTATATCATTAGGATTTTTGTTTTTGTTAAATACATTGTAAGAATTTTTATATTGCAATTTCCTACATTCATCTATTGTATGTCCGTACTTTTTACAATATTTGCATTGTTTAATATTATTATGTTGACTATTTGAAGAAGGTTGATTAAATGTATGATTAAAATTATGATTATTAGATTTATTAGAATTGTTAACATGAACTCGGTAATTTCCATTAGATTGCGGATAATTTTTACAACAATTATTTGTAGAATGCGAATTGTTACGACATATTTTACAGTATTGGTTGCTTTTATTAGTTTTTAACATATTTAATATCCTTTCTTCACAGAGGGCAGCATTATGAGCCTCCTTAATGCAATTAAATCCTTTATATCTTAACATTTGTGAAATTTCTGGTTTAGAATGGTAAATGAATCTGTTTAAAGTTAATTCGCGTATTGTTTGAGTTTTACCCGGTAATTCGGCATCGTTTCGATAACTCTGCTGAGCAGAAGAAATCGTACGATGGTATAAAACTTCTAAACGTTGAAAGAAATCATCTACGGATTCATTAGAATTCTGTCTACAGTTATTTAGTTCTTCTATTAATTGGACATAATGTTTTCGCTCTTTATATAAATCTTTTAACTTTTGTCGTAAAATTTCCCAAGATTCAAAGCTTTGTGTTGTTAGTTGCTCTTTTGCTGTACCTGATATTCTTGATAATATAAAATATAATAGAGGCAATTTTTGATTTTGACTGGCTAACTCATTGGCACTATTACAATTTGCCAAAAATTGTCCTAATTCGTTTCTATCACCGCTAAATCCGAAAGGAATCAACTTACAAATAAAATCTAACGATAATGGATCAGTATTCGAATTGGTATTCATGATGAATTTTGTTAATAAATTTAGTTAAAAAAAATGATTAATAAAATTTTGTAAAGTACTTTTTAACGGAGTTAAAAAAAAATATACTAGTAAGTTATATAAAACGTTCGATACAAAATCTAAACAAATATACAAATTCCACTTACCAACGGTATTCTCCTGGACCAGTTTCCTGTTTTTCCTCCTTGAGAATCCTTTTGTCCCGTACTATCCCATCCTGTCCGCAGCGCCAATTTTTGTTGTAGTCCTCTTCAGAAGGGCCAACTTGTTGAGGGTCTTTTCGGGTGTGGAATTAATGTACACTGTTGTTTTTTAATATAACTTAACTTTAATTATGATAAACTAATTACAATAGTTATCCTGAGGGAAACTGTGAAAAATAATAACGTGTTGAAGAGTAAAAAGAGAGTTGAAGAGCAAAAGCAAAAGAGTGTTGAGCAAAAGAAGTATGTGACTGAAACAGGGTTTTAGCAAAAGAGATATGAGGACCTGTCTTGCAGTTCCTTAAATAATATCTAAGCTACAGAAATGCCAGAGGCGTACAGTACAATTTTTATATCCTTAATCTAATATTCAGAGCAGTGGACGACACTGCCCTAAACTTACATTGTTCAGATAGACAGACGTCTGCGAAAGCTATATAAATTTATGATCAAAATTCCCAACAGTAATAGTTAAAGTTATCAATTAGAATTATATTGTAGGGTCGTTTATGACCTCAAAGGTATGAAGGTTTTTATTAGAGATGGGACATTCCTAAACTAATATTACAAATTTGATTAAAATGAGGACGGGATTATAACACTTTTAAATCCTACCGTGGCAAATTTGTGTAAAGAACATTGACTGGATTTTTAGTGAAATGGCACTAGACCACCTGTTTAAAAATGTAAGGATATGTTTCATTTTAACATAATTTGCATTTATGTTCCTTTAACTAAACATACAAGTATCTTGTAGGTTAGGTTAGGTTAGGTTGCTGGGGTTTGGGATCATATTTGATCCCTCACTCGGAGGCCTTGGGCCCATTGCGATACCCCTGTATTGTTTTACCAAAACATAATTTGCATTTATGTTCCTTTAACTAAACATACAAGTATCTTGTAAGAAACCAATTAAATTTGGTCGCGTCTTAAAAAAAAATCGACGCAATATTTTTATGACCTCCCTACAATAATAACCACGAGCCGCCACTGATAAAAAGTAAAACTGAATAATGCCAAATCGAAAGTATTATATAGTATATAGCTAATGTAATGCCCAAAGTTTTCCTTTCTAAGTTTTCTATTAAAACAGACAATAAAATCTTGAAGTCAATCAAATCTTGATGTAACGAATGCAGTACAAATCTTAGTATACTGCTCACAAAGGCACAGCTGTAATTGTCAAGTATTCTCTCATTAGACAGGGTTACATAAATAAATTTATAATTTGATTTTCGACGAAGTCCGGATTTTGTCCGGATGTCAGAGCTCACTTGTCCTGAATTTCGAACTGATTTGAATTATTCTAATTTGAATTAAAATTAAAAGACAATCAATTTGATAAAAGGATTAATTCAACTCATCACAATATTGTTTGTAAATTATTTTACCTTAAATAATATACATATATGTCGTATAAAGGACGTATAAAATTTTAAAATAAAATACAATTCAGTCCAAGGTTCAAGAAAATATTTTATTTCAAGTGAATTTTTAATTTGTGTATATTAACTTGAATTAGATAAAAATAAGTATTGATACGGGCAATAGCTTATAGGTATATTTTTACTTTTACAAGTATTTTGTCCCGTCTAAACAATACCAAACAGTACTGTTTATGTTATTATTAAACACCTAGATCAAATGTGAATTAATATAATAGGCTTGGTGCATTTCAGTTGATTTCAAAAAATTCCGACCGCAGCGCTCGAACGGCAGAAATCAAAAGTTTTCGCTCTGTATTTGACGCAGTCCCGGTTGCAGTTCATGTTGATCGCATTAAAATAATATTGAAATCGTAGCTTTGTGATAATATTTAAATATTTTATTTTTTTATAGTGCAGTTATTAATTAATAATTACAGGGCATCAAATCAGATTTCCAGATCTAGTCCTAAGAGATAATAACGAAATAGAACTAGAAGAAATGTTCAATGACTTAATAAACATAAACTTCAACAAAACAAAAGTACTGAGTTTCGAATATACTTAACATATACAGGGTGTCCCAATATACAGAGAACATAGAACTAGTACTTATTTTTGGGATTAAAATAAGTTCATTGGACATCATTTATTATCTCTATACAAAAGTCCTTCATTTGTCCATTAGAGAACATCAAACTTTAAAAAAATAAACACATTTTTTAAAATATTAGAAGAACATTTATTTACTCCGATTTGAATGAGATTTGAGGTGCCTATGTTGGATAATATTTCTACTGAAATTTATGTAGGAGTGGGGTTTTCACCCTTCCCGTATTTTTTTTTTGTGTTTTTGCATCCGAGCAAAAAATATATAACACCTGTATTTTGCCTGTGCAAACATACGGGCTGGAATCGACCAGTCTAACAAAATCATTTGCAAAATAAACTCTTAACAACTCAAAGAGCTATAAAACGATGTATGTTACAATACAAAATCTGTAATTCGTAAAATATCAAGAGACAAACAAGAGTTACCGATATAATTCAGGAAGTGGCTAAGATGAAATGAAAATGGGCTGGACATATTTCCAGCCTACATAAAGACAGATGGACGCATAGAATAACAGTGTTGATGCCAAGGCAAGCTAAAAGAAGTGTAGAGCGCCCATAAAGACGTCGAGTGGATGACATTAGGGAAGTGGCAGGTAAACGGTGGTTAAATATAGCACAAAATATGGGGACATGGAAAAGGACAGTAGAAACCTATATTCAAGAGTGGATAAATGTAGGTTGAGGAGAAAGAAAAAGTAGTCAGTCTGGCAGATGTTTTATGCTTTGTTCTACATTTTTAGACTTTGTAAAAAAAAGGTGGATCTATAATGTACTCCAGAGATTAAAGAATCAATAGATTTGTAAGAGTTACCGTGAAATAGGCCAAAACTTATTTCTTAAAAATTAATATATTCGGTAACTTTCTGTAACTTAATATGTAGCTTAATGTTGTAATACTAAATCTTAACAATCTAATTTGTCTATTTTTATGTTTAGGAGATAATAAAAAGATGAGTTTTCACGGACCTCCAGGACACCATGGTCCACCAGGACATCATGGTCCACCAGGACATTTTGGACCACCAGGTCCTCATCATCACGGTCCACCACCGGGTAATTTTGGTCCACCGGGACCACCTCATCATGGTCCTCCTGGACCACCTGGTGGTATAGCAGGAGGTATTGTCTCCGGTATAGTCAGTGGTGTGGTCAGTGGAATTGTCCACCATGCCTTACATCCACATCCTCCTCCGCCTCCGGTTGAGTTTCCACCATGCTGTCACACTTACTATACTAACGGTTGTCACCATTGTAGTGCCTGGAGATGGTAGACAATAATTAATTAATATAATCTAAGTTTATGGATAAAATTATAATCTTTTTGTTTTAAAATGGTATTGAAGAGTTTAGAGAAAAAAATTGTGACATAAATCTTGTTAAAAATAAAGTTTGTTTGCTTAAATTATCTTGTTTTTAATTTAATATATCCGTAGAGATAAGATAAAACAATTTGATATGACAATATATGATTTTTTCTCATAGTCACAAAAATAATTGCATATAATTGTACTCGTGTACAATTTTGTATGGAACAAAGTCGAATGGATGTAGACATATTGCATTTTAACTAAGGTAACAAAACTATATTACATTACTCTAATTTATCTGCGTAAAGTAACGACGGCGACGGTACATTGCATTATTGCAATTCCGCCACCCTAAAAATTTGACTAAGTTTGATGTTTCATAATTTTTTATTTTGTAATCCGATTTTTATGATTATGGTATCAGTGTAAAGATAAATTTATTGGCATTATTTTTTATTATTTTAATGGCTTATATTCTTCGGTTAAGTTGGTTTATACCGGGGTAAATCAAAAGGTTTTGATTGCAATAAATTCAAGATACACTGTGAAAAAAATGAGACGGATATTTTGGATAAAAAACACTTTCCTGTAATCTTTAAGTAAAGTATTGATTTCAGATATTCTTTTATTGACAAAAACAATAATTTTATAATAATATTAATAGTCCACCTCTCGCAGCAATAACAGCTTTTCATCGTATCGAATGAATAACGGTAGTTATTCTTTTTTGTTCTATAGTTTTATGAATATCAAGCTATAGACCAAGAAAACCCTCTACAAGAGCTAAGGCTAGCATTAACGGAGGAATCTCCGTTGATGCTAGCCATTGGTCTTGTAAAGTTTGTGGTGTAATAGAACGACGAACAGCTCTTTTAAGTTCATCGCACAAATATTCTATTGGATTGAGGTCGGGACTACAAGGAGGCCATTCCAATCTTCATAGTCCAACCTCATCCAGGTACTCGTTAACTACTCCTACTCCTAACTCGTTACCTCGCGTTCTGTGGGGCCTGGAATTATCAGGCATCAGTATAAACTGACTTTCAATGAAAGGAACAAATGGAACGACAACTTCTTGAAGGTCATCCTCAATATAACGGTGGCCATTTTCAACAAATTCAAAATTGTAAAAATATCAGTACATTATTTAAAAATGTGTAGCACATAAAAGAATATACATAATAGAATAATTCAAAAATTAAATGTTAGTAATACATCTAAGATTACAGGAAAGTGTTTTTTATCCAAAATGCCCGCCACATTTTTTCCACAGGGTGTTTTGAATTTATTGCAAAAAAGAAAGTTATGATTTACCCCGGTATAAACTCACCTAACCGAAATATACAGGGTTGTTCACCACATACGACACGGAGTATTGTGGCTAAACGATGATATTTTTACAAATTGTAAGTTTGGAGTTTGTTGAGGACTATTAGAGCTACAAGTTAAAAATATTTTTACAAGATACAGAGTGTCCCAAATAAATAAAAAATATCAAAGTTGTATTTTTTTAAATGGAACACCTTGTATATTATTACATTTTTAGTTTCTACGATTAAAATAAAGGTAAATTTGATTAAGGTTTATTATACTTAAACCTTACCGTTTTTGAAATATTTTCAATTTTGTGAAATTGCAGTAAAAATTTTAAGGCTTCATTTCTCCAAGGGTATCAAAGTTTTTAATACTAAATATTTAATGAAGTTTATTTATTGATCAGTTATTGTGTTGCAATAATAAAAATAATAGTACCTTATACAGAGTGTCTAAAAATTTATTTTAAATAATTATTAGCTTCAAACGGCAATAACTTCTTTAATTTAAAAGGAATGCCCTGTATATTTTAGGAGAATCAGATGCACAATTAAATTGTCTATCAAATTGTATTATATTATTTTTTACCTATCCCTTCAAGTTTTCGTAGAAAATGCATTTTCTTTTAATTTAGACCTCATTTATCAATATATCCATGGAATATTGACATTTTAGATTGTTTTTAAAGCAACAAATGTACAAAATGTACAGACCAGTAATATTATCGTTTTTAGCAAAACGATAATATTACTAGCCCATTTGTATGCAAAAAGAAAACTATTTAAATCTTTATAAAAAGTATACCATTAATTAAATATAACACCATTATTTCCGCCCATATACTAATTAATTACATACTTAATTGTGTTCGTTAATAAATTATTATAAATAAATGTGGATTTGAGTCAGAAATCAATATAATAATAAGTTATCAAATTAAAGTCTCTGTTGTTATAAATAAGCATTTATTATAAAATGAAAGATCATTTTTAAGGTGTTACTTTTTATCACACTGTCTAATGCCCATACAAAATTCAGTTTTTTAGTATTTGGAGCAATTATTATTAATCAACGCAAACAGTCAGTTAATGTAGTTTGAATACTGGAATCATATTAATTGATCCTCTTTAACAAATATTTAAACAGTTTTTTTTTATTTTTTAATGAAATAAACGAATTATATCGACAATATTAGTATCTGTACTCTTTAAAAATTTGGCACATCTTTAAAAATAATCTAAAATGTCAATAGTCCATGGGTATATTGATAAATAAGTTCTAAATTACAAGAAAATGCATTTTCTACGGAAACTTAAAGAGATAGGTAAAAAATGGTATAATATAATTTGATAGACAATTAAATTGTGCATCTGATTCTCGTAAAATATACAGGGTGTTCCATTTAAATTAAACAAGTTATTACCGTTTGAAGCTAATAATTATTTAAAATAAATTTTTAGACACTCTGTATAAGGTAATATTATTTTTATTATTGCAACACAATAACTGATCAATAAATAAACTTCAGTAAATATTTAGTATTAAAAACTTTGATACCCTTGGAGAAATGAAGCCTTAAAATTTTTACTGCAATTTCACAAAATTGAAAATATTTCAAAAACGGTAAGGTTTAAGTATAATAAACCTTAATCAAATTTACCTTTATTTTAATCGTAGAAACTAAAAATGTAATAGTATACAGGGTGTTCCATTTAAAAAAATACAACTTTGATATTTTTTACTTATTTGGGACACTCTGTATTCTGTAAAAATATTTTTAAATTGTACCTCTAATAGTCCTTCATCGAACCCAAAACTTACAATTTGTAAAAATATCATCGTTTAGCTACAATACTCCGTGTCGTATGTGGTGAACAACCCTGTATAAGCCATTAAAATAATAAAAAATAAACCAATAAATTTATCAACAAACTAATACCATAATCACAAAAATCGGATTACAAATTAAAAAGTTATGAAACATCAAACTTAGTCAAAATTTTAGAGTGGCGGAATTTTGTGCCGGGCAGTTTAGTTAAGACCAAAATAAAAAGCATCAATAGATAATCTTTTAATTTGATCTATGTAGTAACAAAATATCATCAGCTCTGATATCATACGAAATATTTACTGTAATATGTTTTTTTCAGTGTGAAGATAAATTTATTGGTTTATATTAATATATTAATTCCGAAATATCGGTTAATGCTCTTGTGTTTCTTTTTTTTCTGTAACAGAACAGAAGAAAATCACAAATAAAGAGACATTTTAAACAAAAATGGTTATTCTAGAGATAAAGTATGTGATGTGAATGAGTTTGGCAAGTGCCAAAAACTTAGACTTGCAGTCTAATAGTAGTCTTGGTAAATTTCTTTGAAATTGTTACAACACAAAGGGCGTAGACAACTCGTTAAAATGGGACTTGCACATCGAAACTTTATCAAAGAAACTAAGCGCTGCCTGTTCTGCGCTAAGACCAGTTTCTAAGGAACTTAACTCATCAACATTTAGAATGGTCTATTATGCCCTTGTTGAGTCGCATCTTCGTTATGCCCCTCCATTCTATGGTACTTGCTACGCGACAAAATTTGATCGTATTTTCAAACTTCAAAAGAGAGCAGTTCGATACTTATTGGGACTGAACAGTAGAACTCACTGCCAGAATTTCTTTAAAAATTTCAAAATACTGACTTTTCCTTCCTTATTAATTTTTGAATCCGTTTGCTTAATTCGCAAGCACATATCTGCTATTCCGGAAAGGCCATCCCACAACTATCCACTTAGGAATGCGGAGCACGATCTTTATCTGCCAACCCCGAGCTGAGAACTAGTTAAGGGCTCAATACTGTACAATTATTTGCCTTTGAATATCAAGTCACTTTCATTCTTTCCCGCATTTCGCAAAGCTCTGAAATCATACTTACTGGAGAGAGCCCTATATGCGGTAAACGACTTTTTTTGCTGATACTTAACCATGAACAATTTTGAATTTTAAAATTTTGATCATCTCACACACTGGTTAATCTAGTATTAAATATTAACCTCGTACCTGATCGTTTTATAGTTTCCATAACATTATTAAAAACTAAAATAACTAAATATTATGGCAAAGCCACAATTTTAATATTATTTCAATACAATCAACATCGGAACTGCGTGAAATACAGATCAAAAACTTCTGATTTCTGCCATATGCAGAGCGCTGCGGTCGGAATTTTTAAAATCAACTGATTTGCCCCAAGCCTATTAGATTACATTGTGACTGATTTATGATTTACAGTAACGCATTTATATATTTTTCAGTTTACCTGTGAAAATCATGAGCCACTGTTGTTCTTCGGGCTGTCGTTGCTCTCCCAAGCATCACAAGCATCATCCACCACGTCATCATATATCCACGGCGGATAAAATTGCAACTGGAGCAGTTGTGGGAGGTATCGTCGGAACATTAGTGGGAACAGCAGTTCACAATGCTATAAAACAGAGCAAGAAAGAAAAAAATAGGGTCATACCACCGTCTCCTGTTGGTCCACCTCCACCATATACCCTTCATCAGCCAAATGTTCCACCTCCACCACCACCAAGTTTTCAGCATAGTGGAGCTCCACCTATATCGCAGTATAATCCTCCGCCGCCTATATATCCGGATTTACCGCAGCAACCCTATCATAAAAATCCAGGTTTGCAATACGGTGTGGAGGTTCCAGTTTGCAATGCAGGAAATCCAGGGTTGCAATACTGTGTGGAGGTTCCAGTTTATAATGCAGGACATTGTGGTTGCGGGTCAGGGCAAGCAAGATGTTATCCAAAACCACCTCGACATGGATTACCTCCATGTAGACATGGCTATTTAATCCATGGATGCCAACATTGTGAAGGATGGAAGTGGAACTAATTGGATAGTTACCACAAATCAGAAAAGTCAAGTGAATCAATCAAAGTCAAACTCAAAGTCATCAGGAAACAAACAGACAAAAATATTTGTCTGTTGACAAAGTCAAACAGACAAAAATATTTGTGTCTTTCAAATGACAATACAATCTATTTTGATACTTATTGTCTCTAATCATCATAATGCCTTGATTTATATTAATGATTAATATCCACTATATGAATTGTGAAGAATATTCTCTATTGAAGAATTCGAGGTTGTTATATACAGGGTGTTTCAAAACAAATGCGAAAAACTTCAGGGGGTGATTCCTTGTTCAAAATAAAGGGTAGTTTGCTTTATAAACGTTGGGTCAAAAGTCAACCATTAGTGAGATATCGCGGTACAAAGATGGCGGAAAAATAATGTTTTTATTTTTTATCTTGAAAACGAAAAGAAATAGACATGAATGAAATTTTATGGAAGCATTACTGTTATGAAGACACACTTTCTTGTAATTTTTTCAGTTTTTTAAAATGAGTGGAAGGGGTTGAAATAAACTGCCCCTATCATTCTTGTTAACGAAATTTAAAGAAAAATTTTATCAAACAAATGCAAAAAAATTAATTTGGATAGTTTAGTTTGTTTAGAAGCTTTTTTATCTCTTGTGTTTTTTTAAGAAAACTCACCGATTTGAAATTAAAAAATAAAATGTAAAGCATTACATGTCAGGACAAAAAACATTTTTAGATTAAGAATCTAGTGATAATAACGATAATAATAATCATCTAGATAATAACGTATTGCAGTAGAGTAATGTCAAATAAAATAATATTAGGAACATCCTAAAAAGTAACAGCGGCCGACTAGATTTTTTCCTAAAAAAATTACAGCAGCCCACTAGATTCTTTACCAGAAAATGTTTTTTGTCCTGGCATGTAATGCTTTACTTTTTATTTTTTAATTTCAAATCGGTGAGTTTTATCAAAAAAATACAAGAGATAAAAAAGTTTCTAAACAAACTAAACTATCTAAATTATTTTTTTTGCATGTGTTTTATAAGATTTTTCTTTAAATTTCGTTAACAAGAATGATAGGGGTAGTTTATTTCAACCCCTTCCACTCATTTTTAAAAAAGTGAAAACATTACCAGAAAGTGTGTTTTCATAACAGTAATGCTTCCATAAAATTTTATTAGTCTATCTCTTTTCGTTTTCAAGATAAAAAATAAAAACAATATTTTTCCGCCATCTTTGTAGCGCGATATTTCCCTAATGGTTGACTTTTGACCCAACGTTTATGAAGCAAACTACCTTTTATTTTGAACAAGGAATCACCCCCTGAAGTTTTTCGCATTTGTTTTGAAACACCCTGTATAAATATGTAAGGTATTTGTTAATCATGATATACTACATAATGGAAATAATATAGGTATATATCTATACATCGTCTTAACGAACTGGATTAAAAACTATATAAGGGTGAGTCTTTAACAAGTGCAAATATTTTCAGAGCTGGTAGATCTCGATAAAAGAAACATATTTTCTTCAAAGCCAAAGTCCAAAATAACCGAGATTTTGCTTAAATTTTGAGAACTATTAGATCTTCTCGTTGGTTTCCTTCTTGTAAATTTAATCTACCTTAAAAAGCATGCACGTGTTTCTGGGGTCGAGATATACTACCGCTAAAAATATTTGCACTTATTTAAGGCTCACCCTGTATAATGATTGATTTTTCTATAAATATTAAATCTCAAAACATATCCCAATTTGACAACAATGCTGATTTAAATATTGACTTGAAAGAGGAAAAAAAATAGAATTATTGTTGATTGAATTGGGGGCACTTTCAATCAACTATAATGGTTTGTATTATTTAAGTTAATTCGTATTAGTATAATAGCATTATATTATTATTATATACTATTTTATTATAATTTACATTTAAATTTATGCTATTTTCAAGTAAATTAAAACATTCACTCAATAACTGAGATTGTATTTCTATTTACATTATAAACATAGTAATTAATTTTAGTTTTAAATATATCATTTTGATTATTCAATTTGTAATTATTTTATTTCGTTACTTATACCCTTAACAAGGCTTATACCTAGGGTTTCCAATATGTTCATATCGGAAAATTATGAATACAATTGCCGACTGTTAAACGGTGTATAATTTTACATTCCCATATAATTTTACATAAAAAATGAGAGCGATCTTTATTTCCAAGCCATTTCTGTGCTATTTTTTTTATTGTATGGTATTTGCTTCTAAAATATATTGATTTACTTTAAAAAAAATAATGATATGATATATTATTTTGTAATTACAAAATTATATTTTGGATAGCAACTACAGATAACACTATAGCTAGACAACAATTATCAAGTTGCAAAGTTATTATGTTTTTTTTTCCGGTTTTGACAAATATTAAATTTTCTGCTGTCCAGAAATTGAAGGTCGACCACTGTAAATATATCAAGTTAAACAAATTGACTGTTTTATAAAGACAGAATGCATTCAATATTCAATAACATTGTGATAGTCTGCCCGTAAGCATATTTTAATTTCTTAACTTAAAAGGTAATTAAGAAAACATAATATACTATTTTTATATAGTAAACAAAACATATACCTATACGCAAACAAATACTTATTTTAATTACTATTCAAATTGAGTTTTATTTCCATAAAGGAACCTCTAAAATAATGTTATTATAACACCTATACGTATAATGTATAATTTAATATATTATTAATTTAATAGATGTTAGTTTATGTCATTTTGCTCAAAGACATCTAAATAAATATTAGATGTCTTTGATTTTGCTCTATATCGCTACCGTGTGCGTCTCAAAAGTGGCTCACCCCTATAAATTTTTTATTGTTTCGGATAAAATTATGAGATTTCGTATGTTAGTATATGACATAAATTAGTATTGATTGACGTATTCAATTGTTTTCGGTCACTTCCTGTTTCACCGGAAATGACTACAACTCTTGATTTTTTAATGGCACCTTGATGGGTATTTTTTTTACTTCTTTCGATAGAAAATGACACTCTGAATAATATAATGACATATGCTATGTTAACTTTTGACATTTTCACATATGGTTTATTTTAAATTGTAATATGTGGTTCATAACGACAGTTTGACTCAAAATAGCAAGTGTGTGGAACCAAATTATTCTTAAAAAATGCTTTTTCCAAATATGCTAATGAGCCACCCTCGTTATATTTGAAAAAAATGAGATATGATTAAAAGTACGATTTGGGCATCTTTTAACCGGTCAGGATAAGACACGTGAAACATTAGACAATCAAATCTATTTTTCCAAGGCTCCTTGATTAAAAATGAGTGTTTTTAACACAGCCATGGCGCTATAGATTAAAATTTAAAATACGATTTTTTTTAAAGCAAAAATGTCAAAAGTTGACATATGATATATGTTGTTCTATTCAGAGTGTTATTTTATTAAGTGTTATTAAATTAAGTAAAAAAATACCGAGGGTGTCATTTAAAAATCAAAAGTTGTAGTCATTTCCGGTGAAACAGGAAGTGACCAAAAACAATTAAATACGTGAATCAATCCTAATTTATGTCATATACTAACATATGCCATTTTTGAGACGCACCCTGTATATCTTCTTAAGGGGATATATAACAGTGATATATGACAGTGATTTATTTTAATTCAAAACATATATATTTCTTTTTTTGTCTGTCAATTTTTGGATGTCATCTGTCTAAATTGTCTCTCTTGTTGCTGGACAGAGATTGGTATATAGATACCGCTAGCCGGTTTACAGAATAAGTAAATTCAAGTTTAATAATATTGCCAGTTTTCAAAAATAATATTTGATTAAGCTTATATTGTAATTATTTAATAAAATTCAATTCACTGAATTTCATATACTAGAGCTTCTTATGACTATGAATAAAAATTCTCATATGCGCATCCTAGCGAACAACAACAATTATGAATTAATCTTTGACCTGTATAAACAAACACAAGCCAGTCTTTATTATCATACAAAAGCAAGCTAGAGCAGTGCATACCATAATAGGATATACGCGTATCGAAAAACAGTGTAACATTGTTTAATTTATAAATAAGTAAGTTATATTTAAATTTGTATGTTTTCTTAATAATAAATCAGTATATACGTAACACGTTTCTGTTATATCAATTGCTTTTATTATTAGATATCCCTGTTTGTTTTATTGATAAACTGTATTAAAAAATATGTATCCTATATTGATCGAAAATGTTATTGTATATTTTATTATCAATACTGGTAGCAAGGAATAATAACAATTAATGCAATTCTGAGTGAATAGAGTTTACAAAAGTTTATTTAAATATTTCTATTTTTTTAGTCATTTAATCAACATTAGACGAATAAAAATAATGCCTAACGAAGCAGAAAGCATAGTGTCAAGTGCGAGGAAAATTTTTAACACTGGAAAAACAATAAGTTATGAATTCAGATTGTCCCAGCTTAAAGGTAAATTACTCAAATATTAATTAAGCGGATTCGTCTTTGAACTTAGGACTTACACGATTTTGACGAAATTATTGGAAAGTTTCCAATAATAGGAATAGAAACTACAATATTAGCTGATTGTTTAATTCAAACCTGTTTTATATTTTATAAAAAGCTAATAGTGTAAGTTTTGGAATACATAATAAATTATTAGAATAAAAAATAAGATGTAAAATACTATATTAAATATACAAATATAAATACAAAATACAAAAATGAGACAAAATAAACTATTAATTGTACTTGGCATCTCATAATACGTTATAATCAGTATATTCAAATTAAATAATAGTAAGTCAGTATTAAAAAAAACAATTATTTATCACAATTTATAAACATACTAGCGTGTACCCGCGACTTCGTTCGCGTCGAATTAATCATTAGTAATGGTGATTATAAAGCAAAGCAAGAATTTCCATTAACATACAAACTGGATAAAATTTTCTCACATTTATGTCAGCATGAGAAAAAAAAACAATATGGCTATATTATTATATAACTTGGTAATATTTGAGGGGTAGTTTCATTTCGTTGGAATTTGACTTTCGAAAAATCCGTTTGCCAAAAATAAGCTTTTACGTCAAGCAGTTTAACAGAATCGTGGTTAATCAAATACCCAACTTTTTGGAACACCCTGTATGATTTTTTAAAAAAATTCAAATTTTGTAAAAAACAAAATAAATTATGCGTGTCCAAGCGTTTTCCTGAAAGACTAACCGTTTTTTAAATAACAAATATTGTAATATTTGAGGGGCGTTTTCACCCTCTTGGAATTTGAGATTCGAGAAACCCCTCCTTATCGAACCTCTACACCCCACAGTCAATCCGTTTGGCAAAAATCAGCTTTTACGTCACGCAGTTTAAGCAGAATCGTGATTATTCAATGGTCATATTTTATGAAACGCACTGTATGAATTTTTTAAAAATCTTAAAATATGTAAAACAACAAAATAAAATATATGTGTTTAAGAGTTTTTCAGAAAAACTCACCGGTTTTTAAATAAAAAATATTCTAATATTTGAGGGGTGGTTTCGCCCTCTCAGAATTCGAGTTTCGAAAAATCCCTCTACACCCTAAAGTCAATCCGTCTTCCAAAAATCAGCTTTTTACGTCTGGCGCTTTAAGCAGGATCGTGATTAATCAATGACCAGCTTTTTTGAAACACCCTGTATACATTTTTAAAAAATCTTAAAATATGTAAAACAACAAAATAAAATATACGTGTTTAAGCGTTTTTTCGAAAACTTCACCGTTTGTTAAATAAAAAATATTGTAATATTTGAGGGGTGGTTTCACCCCTTGGAGCTGAAATTTCGAAAAATCCCTTCTTATCGAACCTTTACACCCTAGAATCACCTGTATGCCAAAATTGAGCTTCTTACGTTGAGTGGTTTGAGCAGGATCGTGATTAATCAGTGAGTCGGTCACTTAAGGATTTTATACCGGGTGCGTCTTAAAAGTGGCTCACCCCTATAACTTTTTTATTTTTTCAGTTAAAAAAACGAGATTGGGAAAGTTAGTATATGACATGAATTAGGATTGATTGAGGTATTCAATTGTTTTTGGTTACTTCCTGTTTCCCCGGAAATGACTACAACTTTTGATTTTTAAATAGCACCCTCGGTATTTTCTAACTTTATTTGATAGAAAATGAGCTTCTGAATAGAATACCGAGGGTGCCATTTAAGAATCAAAAGTTTTAGTCATTTCCGGTAAAACACGAAGTGACGTAAAACAACTGAATACGTAAATCAATCCTAATTTATGTCATATACGAACATACCAAATCTCGTTTTTTAAATGAAAAAGTAAAAATGTTATAGGGGTGAGCCACTTTTGAGGCGCACCCGGTATATTAGTATATGTAGATTTATAAACAACTTAGGTATGCTAGATTATTTGTAAATATGTCTCCAAAGTAATAAAAAAATTAAATTATTTTGTTTTTTTTAACCTAAAGTTTATGACACTACTTTATTTAAATTAGTACTATTATCATACCGTATGATCGAATAAAAACGGCGTCAGCGATGCCTATGAAATGAAGATCGCTGTCATTTTATATGTAAATTTATATGAGAAATATCATCGATTGTCATTCCATAGCCATCGCTGACGCCGTTTTTATTCGATCATACGGTACTATATCATGCGTTTTAGGTCTATCACGGTTTATAAATGAGAATGAAAAAGAAATATTAGAAATTTTGTTGAAAGAAAATAGAAAACCGAAGTTTGAGGCTTCTATAACAGAAGTTAGTCATATGAAGAATGAAATCCAAGATGCGATAAAACATCTTAAGAGCTGGATGGCACCAACTAGAGTGAAGAAACCTTTGCCTTACATAATGGATAAGGTAAATTTTAGATATTTCATGTTATAATTAAAATATTTTTTCTTTTTGATATTCTCAAAGAGGTAAGTAAAAAATTGTTTAAAAATAAACACACAGTAATTTTTTAATAAGTATTTTAAATATGTACAAGATTTTCAAGGTAAAATTTTAAGGTTTTACTTAAATTTCCAGAAAGCAAAATAGAAATTCATACATAGGTGCTATTAATAAAGCATTCAAAATTCATAGGTACTATTGAATCTGTCGTCTCTGCTTGAGAAGGTACAGTGATTCTCACCCCTTCCAAATATTTTCCACAAAATTATATCAAAATAAAAATAGGAAAGTGTATTGTACGCCTCTGGCTATTGCGAAGTCTGGGGTGGAACTCTGTAACTAAACAGTGATTGGTAGCGATGAAGAATACTGTCGCTTGCCGTTTAGTTTCTACGGCCAAGGACAGTATTCTTCATCGCTACCGATCGCTATTTAGTTAAAAACCCCTAAAACATTACTTCAGGAACTAAAACACCAGTTCTTGGACGTACTCAAAGACGTACTCACGCTCTTTAGGTTGACACCGATTAACAAACATTCTCTTTATTTTTCGATAATATTTTTTTACTTTTCGACACGCTCTTTACTTTTTACCTTTCTAACTTCCAGACAGTTCACAGTCGGCATTTTTTATATCCAATTTTACTTTTTAAACTAATTGTTAAAATTTTCATTAAATAAAGGACTTAATAATCAAAAATATAGTGTAAATTATTATCAAAGCAACAACCTTAAAGAAAAAAAGCAGTTTTGATTTCTCAACATTGGTGGCAGCGGTGGGATCTCAGCGATTCCCAACAATACATCAAGACACTTATGTAGTCCCTGAATGCAATAATTCGATGATAATTAAAAACTCAGGTTTTAAATACCTTTAGCGAAACGTGTGTCAATTTTAGTAGTAGCAGCAATAGCGAAACATGTCTCAAATTTAAATAACTTTTTGGTATGTTGTGGCAGATTTGTAAAATTTGGAGTGAGATACTAACTAAATAAAATTTTGGAAATTCTTAATTTATATAACCAACAGCAAAATATACACCATTTTCCCACCCGTGTTTTCCATTCGAACTTGTATTAAGTATACTGTTTATATTACGATATGAAACTTATTTTTATAGATTCAAACAAGACCTCAACCCTATGGCGTTGTACTAATTATAGGACCATGGAATTATCCCTTCGATCTTGTCATTTCACCATTAATTGGTGCTATAGCAGCCGGTAACTGTGTAGTAGTGAAGCCTTCAGAAATAACACCAATTAGTTCAGAGTTTTTAAAAAACACACTGCCTAAATATATTGACGAGAGTTGTTATTATATTTTCACAGGTGGTATAGCCGAAACAACAAAAATATTAGGTAAAACTTTGTCAAAATACACATACTCATCAGTTGTAGGAAAATAATCATTTTTTTTTCTCTTTGAATTGTGCAGAACAGAAATTCGACTACATATTTTATACCGGAAGTACAACTGTTGGAAAGATTATTTATAGTGCAGCTGCCAAAAAATTAACACCAGTAACTTTGGAATTGGGAGGTAATTTGCTACATTATATTAATCCATTTTCTTCAAAAACTCATTAAGTCAAAAAGGTGTTCACACACACGATGTTAAATAAAATAAAATACTAAACACAAAATATTTCGTACAATATTTTTAGTTTCTAATATTAAAACTACCTGATTTAGTTGATTTAATGATTTTATAATGTCTTCTTAATTTCTTCAGGTAAGAGTCCTGTATATCTAGATGATTCCGCAGACGTAGAATTGGCCGCCACGAGAATTTTATGGGGAAAATGCCTCAATTCCGGTCAAAGTTGTTTGGAGCCTGATTATTTACTTTGTTCAGAATTTATGAGAGACAAATTTATCAAGGAAGCTAAAAAGAAGATTGAGCAGTGGTACGGTGCCAAAACAAAAGAAAGTCGTGACTACTGTAGGATTATAAATGACAATCACTTCAAGAGAATCACAAAACTTTTAGAAGGTAAGTTGTATATCATCACTTTTGTTGCAAAAACTTACAAGTTAAAAATTATAATCATGCACTGTAATTCAAATGACAATCACTTCAAGAGAATCATAAAACTTTTAGAAGGTAAGTTGTATATCATCAGTTTTGTTGCAAAAACTTACAAGTTAAAGATTATAATCATGCACTGTAATTCCATTAAATAAAGAAGTATTATCTCAATGCGTTTTTGCTGCAAAGGATGTATTTGCTAATTAACGGCAATTCTGGAACCATACAATTTTTCATTGTAATTGCCAAAATATCGATTGAATTAACTTTGGAATTGGGAGGTAATTTGCTACATTTTATGTATATTGAAAAAGCATGATGCATTGTCGTTGATTTTTCCAATTTTTTGTGGTTCTGGGATAAAAACGACCATTTATACTTATAGTTCATATCAAATAAACTTTTAGTCACGTGATTAAACTTGACCGGCACAGCGTTGCCCACCTTTACAAATTTTCTTTTAATCAAAATATTTTAGGAAACAAAAATAAATTAATTATAAATATATAAACAGTTATTATTTACATAAAAAACTCACCTCCTTAACAGCACTTAAGAGACATATAGCGCCATTATTATCGCTTTCTCGTTCAAAATATTCTAATAAAGCTGCGATGAGTTTTTTACGGCTATTAAGCTATCTGGTACACTTCACACTAAAAGAGATTTTAAAAAGAACAAAGTCCGACAGCAGGGTCTGCCAGTAAAAAAAATTAAACTTAAAATATCACAACATAATTAATTTAAACCAAAAATTTCTAATACAAAATTATAGTTTCAAAAACGAATGATAATGTCAGGAAATAAATAAATAAATGTGGCCACTTGACATTTTTTATAGCAGAGCTACCATCTGAAACCCCAGCGGGAAATTTATATTCCAGTAGTCAGCCCGGCGACGATTATGTTGCCATGGTTGGCAACCATGAATTTAAAAACCGCACCCTCAATTACGTAACTAAAAATTTAATTGGTATCAAATATACAATGATTTTACAATGATGTTTTTGAAAATCTTCAAGTAACAATATAGAACAGTAACTTTTTTTAATATCACTGGTATTCATACATAGAAATACCGTATGATCGAAAAAAAAACGACGTCCAGTTGGCTGGGAAATGAACATCGATGACATTTCCCATATAAATTTACATATAAAATGACAGCGATCTTCATTCCATAGCCATCGCTGACGCCGTTTTTTCTCGATCATACGGTACCTACTTTGAATAAGAAGACTAAGGAAGGAGCATATCAAAAATCTTAGATACACCGCGATGGGCCTCAAATATGGCCGACTTAAATTCCGGTTTATCAGTGTCGTTCTAATTTTATTTAAAAAATGTAAAACTATGATGTAGGGTAGACGTGGGGTAGACTCAATAATTTGTTGTTTTATTTTACGTTCTGAATAAATGTTGCTAGTTATTAAAATTGTTATAAAAATATATAATTCTAATAAAAATAGATAAGTTATAATAAGTATTTATTAACACAAACATCCGGTACGCTACTGAAGCAGGTAAGTCAAATTAACGTATCTAAATTCTTTGACATCTAATCTTTGACAAGTAATAAATAAAAGCTAAAATGCAAGAAAAATATATAATTTAGTTAATTTAAGTGAATTTCATAAATGATCGGTTTACTACACGTATGTATATTATATAGTCACTTACTAGCGACAAGTTGTTCCATTATTTCACTCAATTTTTGCCGAGATCTACCGCACTCTATACAACCAACTATTTTAGGGTCTTTTTCGATAAATCGCGATAGTGTCACTGTTAATTTAAGTTCTGCCACAATTTCCATCTAGATTTACTACCTTTATACAACTATCAGTATTAGAATAAATAATAAATAACATAAAATAAGCTCCATAAAGACTGAAAAATCCACAAAATTGCAAATCAAATTCAAATGTGTCAAATGAATCGTCAAACAGAACTGTCAAGGATCCCCACCCTAGAAAGCTTTTATGGTGCCTTTTCCGCCCACCATGCATGAATACATGGATAGCATTATGCTCCTTCCTTAGTCTTATTATTCAAAGGGTACCTATAATTACCTATACTTATAAACAAAATTACATGTGTAATTTTACTAAACAGAAGATTAAGTGCAGTTTGCAGTTAATTTATACCAAATAAAAATATTAGAAGTTTGACTAAAATGTTTGATTATAAAAAATAAATAATTATAATTCAAAAGCGTAGCAATAACTGAAATAAATAGTTATGAAATATTTGTTTTGAAGGGACAACTATTGCACTGGGTGGTAATACTGATCCAGAAGACAAATATATCGAACCTACAATTGTTGTAAATGTAAAAGCGGACGATCCCATAATGCAAGAAGAGATATTCGGGCCCGTGTTGCCAATAGTGACTGTAGAAACGCCCGAAGCAGCTATAGAATTTATTAATAATAGAGAAAAGCCTCTGGCAGTTTATATGTTCAGGTAAAATCTGTTGAATTAAAATAAAATCACTATCTTAGATACTGGAGCTCGGCAAAGCTGCATTTTCATTTGCATTTCCGTCAGTCCAATATTCGATATCATGTTGCATCTATATATACCACCCTGTACAGGGTGGCGCCTCTCATACGCCGCGGAAGCTCCAAGGAGAACGGTAGTTTACATCGAAATTAAATTTTGTGAGCATATGTAGGTTAATTCAGAGCACTTTTTAAAAATATAGAGAATTCTACAGGGTGTCCCCAAAAAAAGTTATACATCAAAGTTGTGTTTTTTCTAATGGAACACCCTATATATTAATTGATTTTTGGATTCTAGGGAAAAAATAAAGGTGAGTTTTATTAAAGAAGCATATACCTAAAATCTAAGGATTTTGACATATTTCACATTTTGAGAAAATGAAGAGTAAATTTTAAATTTCGATAACAACTACCTAAATTTTAGTTGACCTTTAAACCAAATTGAAATTTGACCCGAAAAGTTATACAGGGTGAGAATAAAATAATTTGGAACATTAGTCACATTTAAAAGCAAGTTACTCCGTTATTTTAAATCGAACACCCAGTATATTTTTCCGGTGTTCAATGGGGAATTTATATATCTTCAAAATATTATTAAGGTTGCCTACCCTTCAGACAAAGATTTTTCCAGATATCTTATTTTTTATGATTTTGCGTCAGTAAATCTTTGTTATTTGAAAAAATCTAGGTGGCTGTGTGATATACCTTTTGTTAATTTAACAAAAAATAAAGATTGAAGGGTAACATACTCAAGGATAATAAAAAGATACACGTTTAAAACATATTTTAGTTATTACAGAATTAAAACTAAACCTATAATTATGCGACAAAAATTAGCTATATGAAATCAAATGCTCAGAATGCTTACTTTCCTGTTAACTGCATAAAATGATTGTCTTTTCAAAAGGATCTTTTCATTTTAAAAGCTATTATGCGGAATTCTACCTCGAAAAGCAGCTACAATAATTTCTCTCATGTTGTCGACACTAGTTGGTCGAGTTTTGCACGCACTGTCTTTAACATATCCCCATAAAAAAACAGACTAGATAAAATCAGGAGCATTTAAGTATTCTATTAATTGGTGAATGCAGACTGCATTCACCAACTAATAGAATCATATCAGTTCTTTCTGATGTAGGATAAGTTTGCATTTTCGGCAAATTTCTGAGAAATTTTTTTTGTTTTAACTGACATAAAATGATAACTAGCTGTTAAAGTTGGACTAATAAGACAGCTTTGTTGAAGTAACGTCAGACATATCACAGCCGCCTAGATTTTATCAAATAATAAAGATTTACTCAGATAAAATCATGTAAATGAAAATATCTAAGAAAATATTTGTTTGAGGGGTAGGCAACCTTAATAGTATTTTGAAGAAACATGAATTTTCAATTGAATATCGGAATAATATACTGGGTGTTCCATTTAAAATAAGAGAGTAACATGCATTTAAAGGGGACCAATGTTCAATATTAATTTTTTCTCACCCTGTATAACTTTTTGGATCAAGTTTTAATTTGATTTAAAGTACAAAAGTTAATTTAACTAGATATTAGGCTATACTGGGTAAATTCCAATTTAGACAACTTTTATTGTAATTTAAAAAGTGTTCTTTATTTCTAGAAAATGTTAAATAGGTATCTCAAAAACCTTACATTTTAGCCACATATTTCTCTTATAAAACTCACATTTATTTTTCTCCCAGAATCCAATCCAATCAATTAATATATAGGGTGTTCCATTACAAAAAACACAACTTTGATATGTAACTTTTTTGGGGACACCCTGTAGAACTCTCTATATTTTTAAAAAGTGCTCTGAATTAACCTACATATTCTCACAAAATTTCATTTTAATATAAACTGTCGTTCTCCTTGGAGCCTCCGCGGCGTATGAGAGGCGCCACCCTGTATAGTATTGATGGACCAAACTATATTCCGGAACTGTTTTTCGGCAGCATATTCTGCAGATAAAAATAAATAAAAAAGTTCTATGTGTATATCCTAAAATGCTCAGTTTCGGAGATAAAAGTTGTAGAAGTTTCATTTTTATTTTGATTTTTTCTAAATAATTTCTGAAAAATATAACGTCAATATTTGGTTGAAAATTGGTGTCTGAGTTTTTTGACATGAAAAAATATTAATTAATAAAAAAAAAACATAAATTTGAGTTTGGCTCCTAGATTCTATGCGAAAACCCTAAGGGGCACAGTTTTCATCTTTTTTATAAGCTATAATATAAGCGAGATCCGAAAGCGGTCGAAAAATGCATTATTTTCAAATTTGCCCTGTATATCAAATGGGGGCTAGGACTAATCTGGTGTGTAGCACCTTTGGAAACTACATATTTGTATCTCTACTCATAAAGAAGAATCCCCTGTAAAATATACGCTACGGGACACTCTACTCATTATTTAAAAATATTATTTTTAGCACCAGTAAACAAGAACAGGAGAAATTTATAAACGGCACTTACAGCGGTGGTATCTGTATCAACGATGTCCTAATGCATTTTAGTTGTAACACATTGCCGTTTGGTGGCGTTGGTTCAAGTGGAATTGGAAAATACCATGGAGTTCATAGTTTTGAAACATTTTCTCATCAAAAAGGTAAAACTCAGATTACATATAAATGATTATCAATAAGCTATTTAATCCAGTAAAAAAATAGTTTTTTAATTTTTTAAAATTTGAGTTATATTTCTTCTGTTTTTAACTTAATAATTTAGTAGTTTTCAAATTGTATTTTTCTCACTAAAATAATAGGGACTCTCTCACTAAAATAATAGGGGAATAATAGAGTTTGGCTCCATTACTTACGAATCAGCATTTAAAAGTCAAAATATTTTTGTGCTTTTATACAGGGTTGTTCACCACATATGACACGAAATATTGTAGCTAAACGATTAGATTTTTACAAATTGTAAGTTTTGGGTTCGTTGAAAGTGTCCCAAATAAATAAAAAATATCAAAGTTGTATTTTTTTAAATGGAACACCCTGTATATTATTGATTTTTAGTTTCTACGATTAAAATAAAGGTAAATTTGATTAAGGTTTATTACACTTAAACCTTACCGTTTTTGAAATATTTTCAATTTTGTGAAATTGCAGTATAAATTTTAAGGCTTCATTTCTCCGAGGGTATCAAAGTTTTTTATACTAAATATTTACTGAAGTTTATTTATTGATCAGTTATTGTGTTGCAATAATAAAAATTTTACTGCCTTATACAGAGTGTCTAAATATTTATCTTAAATAATTATTAGCTTTAAACGGCAATAACTTGTTTAATTTAAATAGAACACCCTGTATATTTTATGAGAATCAGATGCACAATTTAATTGTCTATCAAATTGTATTATACTATTTTTTACCTATCTCTTCAAGCTTCCGTAAAAAATGTCATTCCAAAAAAAATCCATTTATCATATATACCCATGGAATACATTTTACACATTTTAGATTATTTTTAAAGATGTACCAAATTTTTAAAGAGTACAGATACTAATATTGTCGATATAGTTCGTTTATTTTATTAAAAAATAAAAAAACTGTTTAAATATTTGTTAAAGAGGACCAATTAATATGATTCCAGTATTCAAACTACATTAATTGACTGTTTGCGTTGATTAATAATAATTGCTCCAAATACTAAATTATTAATTAATTAATGGCATACTCTTTTATAAAGATTTAAAAAGTTTTCTTTTTGCATACAAATGGGCTAGTAACATTATCGTTTTACTAAAAACGATAATATTACTAGCCTGTAAATTTTGTACATTTGTTGTTTTAAAAACAATCTGAAATGTCAATATTCCATGGGTATATTGATAAATGAGGTCTAAATTATAAGAAAATGCATTTTCTACGAAAACTTGAAGGTATAGGTAAGAAATGGTATAATATAATTTGATAGACAATTAAATTGTGCATTTGATTCTCATAAAATATACAGGGTGTTCTATTTAAAGTAAATAAGTTATTGCCGTTTAAAGCTAGTAATTATTTAAAATAAATTTTTAGACACTCTGTATAAGGTAGTATAATTTTTATTATTACAACATAATAACTGATCAATAAATAAACTTCAGTAAATATTTAGTATTAAAAACTTTGATACCCTCGGAGAAATGAAGCCTTAAAATTTATACTGCAATTTCACAAAATTGAAAATATTTCAAAAACGGTAAGGTTTAAGTGTAATAAACCGTAATCAAATTAACTTTTATTTTAATCGTAGAATCTAAAAATGCAATAATATACAGGGTGTTCCATTTAAAAAAATACAACTTTGATATTTTTTATTTATTTGGGACACTCTGTATCTTCTAAAAATATTTTTAAATTGTAGCTCTAATAGTCCTTCAACGAACCCAAAACTTACAATTTGTAAAAATCTAATCATTTAGCTACAATAGTCCGTGTTGTATGTGGTGAACAACCCTGTATATTTAAGCATTGAGATTCAAAACTCACAAGTATACATTATATACAGGTTAGGGTTCTGATGTTTTAGGAGGTCATCTTTTTCAAAATAAAACACCAATTTATCACAATACATCAAAATGCTTTACTTTTACACTAGGCGCTTATTTCGCCAACCAAGTGAGCATCATCAGCAGATGATTAAAACTGAACTTCAGTTTTAATCATCTGTTGTTGATGCTAACATGTTTAGCGAAACGCACGTCCAGTGCAAAACCAAAACACGTTTTGGTGTATTGTAGTGAATTAAAATATTGCAAGTGGAGTAAGTAAACTAAATTTAAGTGTAAACCGTTTTTTAAAATTAGTAGATAATATTGTGATTTTCGTTGACCTTAAAAAATAATAATTTTGAAAACAGATACTAAATAGACCAATATAAAATACTCGTGTATATATTCTTGATATTTGTTTGTTATTGATTTAAATTTTTACTTTTTTTCAGCTACCTTAATCAAATCCTTGGACCGTTTGGGAGAATTTACACAAAGTGTGAGATACCCGCCTTATACTGAGAATAAATTAAAAATAATTTTAACCTTAACAACAAAAATACCTTCAATATCCTTCTGTAATCATGGACTCGTTCTTATTTTTCTACTAGCTGCCTTTGTTTACTACATTTATTTTAGGGGTTAAGAAATAAAATTTTTGATAATAAAACATTGTTTTTTTTAGTAGATCTTGTACGAGTAATAAACGAATCTAACGATTGATAAAAGAAACTTTTTTGAAAAAGATATTAAGGAACGGCGCCAAAGACGTTCTGAAACAGAGGCTTTTCTAGGGTTGTGTAGTTCATGTATGGAGTGTAGAGGTAAGGAGAAATATCTTCGTGCATTAAAAAATGGGGCCATAAAAAATAAATTTTAAGAAAAAAACTTTTTTAAAAACAAAATTTCAAAAAACTTTTTTCAAAATGAGACAGAGTAGAAACAGATTTTAGTTAATTTACTTTTTTATCGATGTAGAGAAATCTCGCAACGAGCTTTTATATAATATTAAAATTGTGTAACGACATTATAAGTTCATAATAAAAGTTTTAAAGAAAAAGTTTATTTTTTTCTTTTTAGTTTATTTAAATAAAAGCTTGTTTTTATTTTTATTTTCTTAAAGTTTATTTTTTACTTTTTAGTTATGCTGGTTTCTCAGTGCCACACACTTAAATTCATTAATTTAATAATTCATATTACTTTTTTTTAAATAACTTCCTGGGCATCCTAATAATATGTATATCGATGTTCGTTAAAAAAGGAGAATTTTAATTTCAACCCGATCCATCCATAAATAGAATTTTAAAAAATCAAAAACCTCAAAAATGCCACCTTTTGATAGCTGTCAAAAATTCGGTATGTGACAAAATGTATTGTCATCGGGTCTGAACCTATATGCCAAATTTCAATTTCCTACAATGAAAGGAAGTGGTTCTAATTTAGCTTACAAGATTTGCCCCGAACAAACATACATAGATAGTTACATACAAAGCAAGTTAAATAAAAGCTTATAAAAAGGGAAGTTAAGATGGCGCTGCATCTAAAATTTAAAATATGCGCCGAAAATTTTTCGAACAGGAAATGATTCAACAGAGATAAACATTTGACGCGAAGGCGCGGGTTTAAAAAAAAATACAAATTTTATTTTTATGTTAGATGAAATAAATTATCGATTTTTATTCAGCAGCAATAGACTGGGTCTCTAATATATAAAAATAATTGTTTTATATTCTAAAAAATAAAAACAAAGCTTTTTTGGGTAATGTTCGATTATGTTAAAATTGTTGTATTATTCCCATATTTATGGTAACTTTTCATTTTTTAGATTTATGCTTCATTAGCGCTGCTGTGGTCATTTGGTGAACCCTTATTCTTCCTATTTTTGCGACCACTTTTTTAAATAAAGTCCCATTAGGGAGAATTCTCCTCATCTACACTGAAATAGTTCAAAAAATTGAATCTCGTATGTGAACTAAAGGAATTAATCAGTTGAATCGAAAAGATTCGGTCAATTGAACTAAACTAAAAATAATGCGAGAATTAGAACGAGAACAAAACAGAAAATTGTAGAACTGTAACATATGTAAGATTCTCTCAAATTTTACTAAATTTCTATGTACTAATAGCGATTCAGGTTCGAAGGCGTAGTTTTTTGAATTCATACACTCACAGGCATGAAAAACGGGTAACTTAAAATTTTGATGTATTTTAAAGTTTTATATATTGTGTTCTAGTGAACCGTTTTTGATGATCTTTTCAGCAATTTGTAGCTAAATTATTTGACTTTTTAGTGTCTCTTTCTAAATTAAAAATTAAAGTTTCCATCTGTCAATTATACGAGGGTACACAAAATGTTGTTATTTTGGAGAAAGTTTAGAACACTCTGTGGAATATATTAAAAAAGCAAGGAATTTAAAAATAATTTTATCATCTAGATACCCCTTTTCCCGATACTTTGTTTTCTATTTATTTCAAAAGCTTTTTTTTTAGATATTCGCTTTTGAAGAAGGCACTAATATTTTTTCCTAATTTTTGCAATAAAACCATGCCATTGCTTTTGGTCCCAATCAACAGACCTACGTAATAGTGTTTATGATTTATGTAAAGTCACTGTTATTGAAAAACCATATTATTATTGTCATAGCAGATATATTTTTAAATCCAGAAGTTGTATCCGCTATAGTTGCTTTAAACTTTAAATGAAGATGATAGAGATGAAAATTATGTCGCTAACAGATTTAGGTGTACACGAAGCACAGTGCAGTCGCTTCTTCGAGACAAGTTCAAATGCTAGAGGACCTTCGCATGAAAACTTCAAATCGAGACGATCGACCTATTGTAAGCTTATGGCTAAGAAACCGCCGTTTGCCCGTTTTTCAAATTTATAATGAATTGCACTTAAGGAACGTACATATATGTAAGTGAATAGACTGTAAGAAGAAGATTAAACGAAGAAAATCTTTTTATGTCAAGAAGGCCTGCTTCAAGATCACAAAATACTAGGTATCTTAACTAGGACCAAAAAGGCCTGCTTTTAATGTAAAAATTCCGAAAAAATGTTAGTGTCTTCTTCAAAATTGAACATCTCCAACAAAAATAAAGCTATTGAGATTAACCAAAAAATAAACTATCAAGAAAGGATGTACCTAGATGATAAAATGATTTTTAAATTCCTGAACTGTCTTAACATATTCTATAAGGTGTTTCAAACTTTCAGCAAAATATGAACATTTTGTTTTACCTCGTATATCTGACAGATGAAAACTTAATTTTTAATTTAAAAAAAATACTAAAAATAATTTAGAAATATATAAAAATTAAAAAAAATATACAAATAATTTATCTACATACTGCTTAAAAAATCATCAAAATCGGCCCATTAGAACAAAATATATTAAACTTTAAATTAAAACAAAATTTTAAGGTGCCCGTTTTTCGTGCCGGTGAGTGTATTTTGATTTTGCTTGTCGGATTGGTATCAGCATATAAAGCCTAGTTCAGACACGGCTAGTAATTTAGTCGAGTAGGACAGTACAAATTAGTAGAGTAGTTTAGTGTAGTAGTTTAGTCGGCTGGATCCATCCGATTCTATTTTGACGGTCGAGTAGAGTCCCCCGCCATGTGCTACTAACCTAGCTACTAACTACTAAACTGCCACTAAAACAAGTATGAACACGAGTGTTTAGTTCATTGTTTCGTTAAGTAGGTACATTAGTTGACGAAACTGTCGAAATATCGCGCTGGAACGAAGATACGACATAAAACTCTTATTAACATATTGCACTACTAAACTCAATTTAAAAATTGGTCTGAACGATAATCGGTAAGTGGGTACTCGCTACACGACCAAATTACTCTCTACTCGACTAAATTACTAGCCGTGTCTGAACTAGGCTTAACTCCGTGTTCAACAAAATACGAAGTGAGCAATGAACGTGATACACGGTGATACCTTAAAATTGATGATTTAAAAATGTTCATAAATTAGCCTTAGCTATTTTTATTGTTTATTAATATTTGTGGTTTTTTATTAGTCTTTTTTAAAAATGTTTGATTTTATTTAATAATAATATCGAGGCATTTTATTTTTTAAATAGAAGTAACAATGTATCATTATTTAAAACATAACATGTTGAACAAATTTATTTCCAAATTTTGTTTATTCTTTTGTTTCTGTTCTTTATTTGTCTCATAAAATAACATAAGATAACAACTAAATAAATGACAAAGTTTTCAAAAGTTTCAAAAACATTTGTAATCCTACTATCATTTAATATTTCTGATCAATAATAATTATCAATTAATTCATCAGAAATATTAAATTATACTAGCTACATCACTTTGAAATATTGTTTGTTATTTATAATTGTTTTGATTCTTTCCATTCACCCACTGTGCGAAATTCTAATTCGAATATTACAAGTCGCAAACTATGCTGCAAAATGAAAAAACATTAAAATAAATAAATAAATAAACAATTTTTTAAGCCATAATTTTATTGCGTTATTATGTAGCACTTACATTTTTTTTGAATATGTATTGAAACGTAACATAATGATATTATATTTTATGTAATACTGTGCGTTACTGTAAAAAATAATATATGGATATTAATATGATAATTTTATGATGATGTTAACCTCTTAATAATAGTATTATAATAACCTATTTTGATTCAATATTTCTAAATAAATGTCTCTTTGATTAAAAATCTTAAAAAATCATAAGGACCATTAAATTAAGATTCAGTCTATAAAAATACATATACAATCAACATACAGAGTTTTAAAAATTCTGTGTGGACATATTTTATTTTCAGCATTTTCCTCTAACGTTTTAAAGGATTTCGGTAAGACGTTAATGGACTTTTATATAATGGATTCGATTCGATAGTCTCAGATGCTTTGCTTGCCTGAAATTTTTTAAACTCGGCTTGATCCAGTTTGGAAATTTGCCATTTCTTAATAAATATGAACAGAATACCTACTCCAACTATGGCGGTAAAAAGACCTAAAAGAATGGAAAATTAGTATAATACAAACTATTTCGGCTGCATTAAATACATAATATGTAAAAATATGAATATGCTTGATAATACGAAATATTAAGTAGAGTAAGATATTTTCCTAAAAATAAACATCCTCAATTGAGCGAACAAAACGCCCATATTCTCACACTCTGACAATTTATTCCTTTTATTCCCTCAATTGAGGATATCTATTTATAATGACCTCACATTGGGCCAATGGACGGTTAAAAAATGCACCAAAGTAGAAATATGTTCATCCGTTCTGCAAGTAGCTTGATTTTCATGCGTCCGTTATCCGTTATTACCAAAGGTTAATGCGATGGTCCGACTCGACGGTGCTCTGATTGATCATAGCGTTTTCACGCTATTTTTCATCCGCAAGTTTTTTACTCCAGCCCGTCAACGGAGAAAGATCGTACAATAACGGAAGTTTTGACACTTTTTTGACAAATTTAATCTAATCTTAATAAAAATATAATAGTACAAGAGCTAGCAACGTCGGGAAAACGAGAAATTTAAGAAAGCTGGTTCTTTAATATATCTTTTGCTATGCTCTCCTGACCAAAGTGCGGGACGTCTGGCTGCCGGTAGACTACTGCGGTTCACAACTGCGGATCACATATGTACAGGGTATCTCATTTTCGCGTGTTTTATGAGATTTCTCGTTTATGGGTAGAGATACAATAATGCGATTTTCACATTAATTTGTTACTTATTTATGAAACTAAATATGCCACATATAGGTTTGTCCTAGCCTTCTAAGTCCCTGAAATACAGGGCGAATTTGTGATGCGCAGTAGTGAATAGATGCTGAATACAGATATGGTTGCGCAGTAGTGAACGCAACGTCTACCGGCAGCCAGATGCAGACGGTCGCACTCTGTACAGGAGAGCATAACAAAAGATATATTAACCAGCTTTCTTAAAATTCTCTCTCGAAAACGTTGTTAGCTCTTAGACTATAAGTAAAAGAGCGAAATCGTTATGGAAATGAAAACATAAAATGAGACCAGTCACAAGCAAATCGTACATCCGATAAAGGAGGCATAAAAGTGCAATAAATTTTAAACTGATTAATTTTATAACCAGTCGAAGTCTTTAAATTCAATCAATAAACCTAATATCGTATCGTCGTACAAAGGATGCATGAAAATCAAGCTTTACTCTTGACATTGATTATTACATTTATTTAAATTACGTTATTATTGACAATTGAAAATATTTCAAAATAGAGTTACCTTTAGTAATAGATTATACATGCAAAGAACACATTTTTGTGTTTTCGCTTGTGTTGCCATAAATGTATCGCACATAAATATTTCTTATATATTATGCCAATAATAATAGTACTACGTTTTATTACCTATTGCAAGATTTATGCCATAAGCCTGGGCAGTTTTGCTACAATATTTTGGAGTTACCAAGAGCTGTATGCCCCCAAAATCTGTTTTCTCATAACAGTAGCGTAACTTACATCTGTCGTTACCTTCAAAACTTACAATGGTGCACTCTTGACCTATAGAAACAAAATCCGCTAATATTAATCTTTACAATAAAAAATTGTCTAAGCTGAAAAGGAAAATAAAAAGATAAAAATCAAAGTCTGTTCTCTGATATTATAATAGGTAGGTAAATAAAACAAAATAAATCAAAATAAAAAAAAACAAATCAAATATAAATACATTTAAATAAAGGAAACGAGTTTCATATATTTAAGTATTATGATGAGAGTAGTTTTGAAAGCAGTCTACAAGACAAGAATAAAATATCTTTTAAAAAGTAACAGTTAAAAACGAAATCAAATGTAATAATACAATAATACTTAGTAACCGTGAATGATAGAGCTTATAGAAAAAATAGTTATAGATAGAAAAAATAGTTATAGAAAAATTTCTCAAAAAAAGTTATTTTCAAGCGTGAAGGCTGAAAAAGGAACTAAAAGGATAAACATCAAAGTATGTTTTCTAATTCATGATGGGTAGATAAGTAAATAAATAAATAAAAAAGAAGTCAAATATAAATAAATTTAAATAAAGAAAAGGGGCGTCATATATCTAACTCTTAAGACAGTAGAACCTCTGTTAAAGAATAACTGTTAGAAACGGAATTAGATATAATAATATAATAATACTTGGAAACCTTAAATGATAAAGCCTATGAAAAGGATAGTTATAGATAAATAGGCTAAGGAAAATCGTTATAAGTTATTTTTAAGTGTGATCGCTGAAAAAGAAAATAAAGACAACATCAAAATATCTTCTCTTAAATATTAGATATGTATTTAAATTTATTTATATTTGATTTCTTTTTTATTTATTTATTTACTTACATATCGTAATAATGATAGGTAAGTAAATAAATAAATAAAAAAATCAAATATAAATAAATTAAAATAAAGAAAAGATAGCATTATATATCTAACTATTATGATGGAAGTAGTTTTGAAAGCAGGTTACAAGATAAGAATAAAAGATCTGTTAAAGAATAACTGTTCGAAACGGAATTAGATATAATAATATAATAATACTTGGAACCATTAAATGATAAAGCCTATGGAAAGGATAGTTATAGATAAACAGGCTAAGGAAAATAGCTATAAGTTATTTTTTAGTGTAATTGCTGAAAAATGAAATAAAGATAACATCTAAATATCTTCTCTAAAAGATTAGATATATATTTAAATTTGTTTATATTTGATTTCTTTTCTTTTAATTTATTTACTTACGTATAAAGTAAATAAATAAATAAAAAAAATCAAATATAAATAAATGTAAATAAAGAAAAGAGGTATCATATATCTAACTATTATGATGGAAGTAGTTATGAAAGCAGGTTATAAGACAAGAATAGAAGATCTGTTAAAGAATAACTGTTAGAAACGGAATTAGGTATAATAATATAATAATACTTGGAAACATTAAATAATAAAGCCTATGGAAAGCATAGTAGATAAATAAGCTAAGGAAAATTGCTATAAGTTATTTATTAGTGTGATCGTTGAAATAGGAAATAAAGATAACATTTAAATATATATAAACGGGATTTGGTTTAAGTATTTAATACTCATTTCCAACTACAGCCTATTGCTGCCTTCCCGTTACCCTACGCCACACATCTCGATTTAGAGCGTCATCAGCTTCTAGGTTACGAGCTTCCATTGCTTCCGTAACCGTTCCGTTCCAGGATTTTCTAGGTCTACCTCTCTTTCTTCTGCCTGAACCTTTTTCGTATCGACTCTATTCTTTTATGATATTTCTTGCTCATTAAAAAACTCTTTTTGGCCACCTGTTCTCCGGCATACGCAGAACATGTCCAAACCATTTTAAGCTGGATTTTTCGATTCGATCTAGTACTGTTTCCTCCGATGCATTCATGATACGCCTGACCTGACGTTTGTCTTTTTTTCCATCCTAGATATACCTGCACTTCTTCTAAGGTAGTCCATTTCAACAACTTGGATTTTGCGCTTCGCGTCTGCACTCAGAGTCCATAGCTCTGAACCATAGCAAAGAACTGACTCCACCAATGTTCTTCCAAGTCTCTTTTTAGTTGTTGCAAACAAGTTTCGGTCCCATCAGAGGCTGTTAAGACATCCAATAACTTGTTTGCTCTTCTGAATTCGGGTTTGTATTTCTACTTTGCCCAAACCCTCGTTGTTGATAGTAGCACCCAGGTATTTAAATTTGTCTACTTGTTGAGTCTGGACGTTATCATTAATGAAGACTTCAAAACAAGCATTGGAATTGACAGCTAAGTATTCGGTCTTCTTTAGACTAACCTGAAGTCCCCATTTGTTGTATTCTTGATAAAGCCTCTTAGTCATGAACTCTAGATCGTATGAGTACTGCGCAATCACGACCTGATCGTCTGCAAAGCTCAGGGTAAATAGTGTGTTGTCCTCAATGGGTATTCCCATACCTTGACATTTCGTCTTCCATTCCCTAAGGACTACTTCGACGTAAGCGTTGAAGATCAGAGGAGATAAGCTGCATCCCTGTCGCAACCTTTTTGTGGTGTTAATTGGATTAGATAGCCTGTGTCCTATCTTAACGTACGATTCATTTTCTTTATATAGCTCTTTTATTATCTTAAGCAAAGGTCTATCTACTTCTAAGATATTCAACACTTATATCTTGCTACGGGGAATAGAGTCGTACCCTTTCTCCAAATCAATAAATGCTAGATGAACTTCTTGATCTACTGCTATCTTTTTTTCCATCACCTGCTGCAGGACAAAAAGGTTATCTGTGCAAGATTTCCCCGGTGTGAATCCGCTTTGGTCTTTCGAGATTTCGTCACCAATACTGTTCCTGAGCCTACTCTAGTAGCACCTTTCCAAAAAGTCTGCTGACCGAACTGTTAATGCTTAGGCCTCTATAACAAGCGGGGTCGTTACGATTTCCCTTTTTGAAGATGGACACTATGTGAGCCACTCGCCATTCTCGGGGTAGTTTACTTTGCAGGCAGCACTGGTTAAATAGCTTTGCCAGACGCCAGCGCAGTCTTTGGATTCCACACTTTAACAATTTCGCTACAATATTACCAGGACCTGGTGACCGCCCATTTTTCATTCTTTTGAGACTTTGGTGTACTTCTGTTTCGCTTATCATTAAAGTGCCTGCAAGGTTGTTCTCATCTTCTACTGCTTGGAATTCTGGTCGGTTTTCAGTCAGTAATTCTGCATAGTAGTTGCGCCATTTTTCTATATCCATTCTATTCAAGAGCTTGTCCGTTTGATTGGTTTTCATTTGTCGGATTGTTCTCCATACCTCAGTACTCCGTGCGCCCCCTATTAGGCTTTCCACTTGCTGACACCTTCTTTCCCAAATATCTGTTTTTCCTACCTTAATGGCGGCTCGTACCTCTCTATTTTTTTGCTTGTAAACATTTAAATATATTCTCTAAAATATTAGATATATATTTAAATTTATTTATATTTGATTTCTTTTCTATTTATTTATTTACTTACATATCGTAATAATGATAGGTAAGTAAATAAATAAATAAGTAAAAATCAAATATAAATAAATTTAAATAAAGAAAAGAGGCATCATATATCTAACTATTATGATGGAAGTAGTTTTGAAAGCAGGTTACAAAACAAGAATAGAACATCTGTCAAAGAATAACTGTTAGAAACTGAATTAGATATATAATATAATAATACTAGGAAACATTAAATGATAAAGCCTATGGACAGCATAGTTATAGATAAATAGGCTAAGGAAAATCGCTATAAGTTATTTTTTAGTGTGATCGTTGAAATAGGAAATAAAGATAACATCTAAATATGTTCTCTAAAATATTAAATATATATTTAAATTTATTTATATTTGATTTCTTTTCTATTTATTTATTTACTTACATATATTAATAATAATAGGTAAGTAAATAAACTGATGACCTAGCCCTAATTGCCAATAGTTCTGAAGAACTAGAAGCATAAATTAACGAACTAAATACAGCCAGCAATAAAATGGGTTGTAGTCAAGATAAATTTAGCAAAAACTATAGTAATATACAACGAACTAGTAGACAGAAAATGCATTCTAATTAATAACATAACACTGGAAATAGTAGAAGAATACGTATATTCCACTACTAGAAATCAATAGAAGAATTAAGTTATTATGGAGTACTTATGGAAGAAACTCAGTCAATGTGTACTACCAGTCATGACCTATGCATGCAAAAGCTGGACACTTAAAATTGACATTATAAGGAAACTACAAATTGCACAATGCTCAAAGGAACGAAATATGCTGGGAATAACAAAGAAATATCATAAAAGAATAGAGTCGATACGAAAAAGGTTCAGGTAATGGACGCCATCCACAGAATCAAATCACTCAAGTACCAATAGGCAGGACACCTGGCAAGAAGGACGGATAACAGATGATCCACAAAAATTACAGTATGGTTGTAGTTCCACGAGGAGGTAAGGGACCTAGAAAAAGACCAAACCTGGGAAGGGACCATGATATTAGGAAATTAGCAGGAGTAACTTGGGTCTGCATAGCCAATAATAGACAACAATGGGCCCAACTACAAAGGTAGTATGTAAAATGTGAGGGAGGCTACACCATAATAATTAGAAGTGGTTGAATAAGCTAATAATGATGATGATAATGATGATGATCAATACTTATATACTACAGTAATACTTACTACAAATATAATTTTGAGAAACATATTTTAAATATGTTGTTATATTATCTGCTGTGCTTGTGCTCGTATCGTCAATGTTTTCTTGGTTATCTTTAACTATACTGTCAAAATTCTTGCAAAGTAAATTTTCATCAACCTGATTTTCCCCTTTTAGTTTTTCACAATAAGCTCCGAAGAAATTATCATCGCACTGGCATTCGTTGCAACTACATGTACCTTTATTATTACACAGCACATCTAAAATTAAGGAAAAATAAAACTTATGTTGTATAACATTATTCATATGCTCTGACAGTATATTTATATACATTAAATTTCTCATTTACACATTTCGAAGCCGTAGGCTGTTTTTGTCTCGCTAGCTTGTGTGCCTGTGTCACGGGTTGGAATTCCCGCTAGGAGTAATCCCAGCGCGCGATCGATAGTTATCACTTTTCGTAACGCTAGCTCGTGATACACGACCTTGAATTTTATGTACAGCGCGCTTAAGCGTCAGACATAACTTATTTTCACAAGGATGAAACCTTAGCCTTTTATATATACAGGGTGGCGCACCTCATTCGTCTTGGTTGATTATACCAAAACGGAAAGATGTAGAAACAAAATATTTTATGGGTATATGTAGGAAGGCAATGTGCATACTTTAAAATCATTTTGAAATGTACAGGGTATGTCAGAACTAAGATCCATACCAAAGTTATATTTTTTCTTATAGAACACCCGGTATTTTATTTCGTTTTTGGATCCTTGGACCCAAAAAAAGGCATTTATTATGAAGGTTAAATAAGTTTAAAATCTTTAGTTTTTGAGATATTTGAAGATATTTAAATATGCGTGCTACAATATAATAGATTATTAACACCCTGTACATTACTTTTCAGAATTAATTCTTGTGCTGAGTTTAAAGGTAGAGAAATAAACTCTACTGTAAAATTTTATTGTTTCCTTAAATTTATACAGGGGTACCAAAAATTGCTGATCTGTTTTAAGGATATATTTTACATTCAAATGCTCTTTCACAAACTATATTAGGGTTCCCTATACCTATCTAGCTTAGATTTTGAATAAAGAGCAATTTTTCAATAAAATGGCAATCAAGAGGGCTAGTGTCGTCATGGCGAGTTTCTAGTGACAGTTAGTAGCTATTTTCAAAATCGAAATTAGTTTATGGACTCTATTTAAATTTTATACCAGTTTACTTTTATTTAATTTATCTACAATAGTTTAATAAATAATATTTATTAAATACCTATGTATTTATTAATCTATCAAGAAAAAAGAAAAAGTATGTAGTTCTTTGATTTATTTTACGATGACTTGTAGATTGTAGATATATGGATTTCTATAAAAGACCCAATTACGGCAAATTCATTTTCTACACTTCCAACGACAGGTTTCCGCCTAATAGTTTTTTTTATAAAATATATTTTCAAAATAGTTTTAAATTATGCACATTGCCTTCCTACATATACCCATAAAATATTTTGTTTCTACATTTTTCTGTTTTCGTATAATCAACCGGGGTGAATGAGGTGCGCCACCCTGTATATTGTAGAATATTACTCTGATGTAGTATCAAAAGTATAAGACACTTTCCATGAACCAGAACTATTATCAGACGCTTTAAAGCTCCACAAAAAGTAAATGAACTTCACTTATTTTTACATGTCTGATTTTTACATAAATATGTTATTAAGAAAGCTGTTATAAAATTATATTTAATTAGCCAGACAAATTGTAATGACCAAAGGTTCTCCCGCGCTCATAATAATTTTTGATATGATTATTGTTAGTTCCCAGTAGTTAATATGCAGAAAAAAAAATCGTTGGTGTTTGGGAAGGCTTGAAAGGAAACAATGTTTTTGGGACGTTTCGCGACTTTATTGTCGCTTCTTCAGGCACTATAGGAGAAGCAGTTTTTTTAAAAATATCAAAATAAGATTAACTGACCACTTACTCAAAACATATATTAATCCACATTATGCCTACAAACATTCATGGCGATTCCAACCGCCAACACTAAGACACATACAGACGAATCGAACAGAAACTTAACAGGTATTTTTTTGGCCCGATATACACCGATACTCGGTTTGTGTCATACTGACACCAGTTAAATTAATTTCGTACAAAAAAAAAGGATTGATAAAGATTGATTTTTTGCTTTCTTTATCGTTAATTTCTTTCCCCGTGTCTCTAGTTGCTCTTAAGAGCCCTAGTCAATTCCCTATATGTGCAGGTCGGTCGGCATCGCCATAAATAAACAAACGGAATCATAATGTGGGCCCGATAGTATCAGATAGTATCAATCAAAATTAAATAATTTTTTAAAATTATTTTCAACAAATAAAAGATAAAAGACTAAAAAAATATTAAAAATTAAAGAAACATAATATAAAAGAAGCAAAAAATACGTTTAATTAAAATCGCGAATGAAAACTAAAATAAATAACACATTGAGTACACAATTAGGTATATATGTATAAACAAAAATAATTAACAGGTGTAGATGAAACAGCCACAAAACTTCAATGTGGCAATATCAATACCACGAATACTGACAATATTGCCATTACAATAACTCTGCACAAGGAAGAAACACACAATCGCGAAGGAAAAAGTAAGAGAGCTTTGAAGAAAGACTCACAAAATGTTCACACCCGAAAGCACCCCCAACACACTCAAAAAAAAAGACAAAAAAAAACCTGCATGGCTAAACATTTCTTCTTTCATTAATTTTTTTGTACTTATTTAAACTGTTGCTATATATTACACTGAGACCCTGAGTATCAGACCTTATGTTGACCGTTTTGTTCAAATTAATATGAATCATTTCGCCTATGTTGCGTTTATACCATAACATCATCAAAATGAAATTCATGTCCGGTGTCAAAATGGTGTGAGGCCAAAGCAGTTTTATCATTTTTAGATTTGTTCCGAGTATTGCAATCGTTTCTATGTTGATTAACCCTATTACCTAAATATTGCTTAGTCTGACCAATGTAACAACTGCCGCAAGAGCAAGGAATGCTGTAAATTAAGTTGGATTGTTTTAGCAACGGAGTTAGATCTTTGATCTTAGTATACAAGAACGATGTCGTTTTTGAATTATAAAATGCTAATTTAGTGTTAGTGTTCATAAAGCATCGATTTATTTTATGTGAAAGGTTATCAATAAAAGGAAATCTGACATATTTAGTTCCAGGGTCAACTAACGAGGTACTCAGTTTTTTAGATTTATTCCTGTTAATACATCGGTTTATAAAGCTTGAAGGATAATTGTTTTGATGTAAAATGGTCTTGATAGTCTTAATATTTTTGCTAAAAAAAGATGGGTGACTAAGTTTTTCAAATCTATTTAATAGGCCTATAATTGTTGCTCTTTTCTGCGAAATTGGATTATTTCAATGAAAGTTTAGAATTCTACCTGAACTGGTTGGTTTTATGAACCAATTAGTCATGAGTGTCCCGTCCTCATTTCTGAAAATTTCAACGTCCAGGAAAGAATTTTGGGATGGTAGCTGTTCAAAAGGCTACGGAATGTTTCGATTTTATCTTCCGGTACTGCTGTTATCAAATCGTCTACATATATTAAGAAAAATGGGACAGAAAATGGTAGCGACCTTAATATATTTGACACCACACCATTCATAAGTAAAGAGGCTATTGTTGGACTTAATGGATTACCCATTGCACTGTGCAAAAGTTCTGGTCGATGGAAAGTGTCTGATACTTTATAACTAATAATTTTTTTTTAACCTATATATAAAAATCAGCCATACACATTTAAGTTAAGTAACTCTTATTTCTAGTTACCTTTTCCACCTGGCATCTGCCAAGGTGTCACAGGGCGAACCCCACAAACACGTCTGTATTCAAAGCACATGTGAGCACTACTGAGAGCCTAATGTTTCATCCTTGTAAAAATAAGTTATGTCTGATCGCTCTGGGATCTTGGACTATGAACATAACAATGAATTTCAACAAATATATTCCAATTAATATGAAATAATAATAATTTCAAAACTAAAAGAGTTTCGGACTTCCATTGTCTTTATTTATTTTGCTTATACAACGTTTCGGTCAGAAGTATCACTGACCGTTATTAAGTGTGAAATTTTAGAATTTATTAAAAAGGACTATAAATTAAAAATGTTAAGAAATAATAACATTATTCTTACCAGTTCCAAATTTACAGGATTCTAGTGACGTGGAACAATTACAATTGTGACCTGAATAATCCGAAAAACAAACACAGTTACCATCCGTGCATGTGCCGTGCCCAGCGCAGATTTTTCCATTGTCATCCACTGGACATTTATATTGGCAAAATTCTCCGCTATAAGTCCTCTCACATTCACACTTTCCGCACTGGCACTCTCCTCTAAAAGTAAACCACTATTTTATAGAGATAGGGGTAATGAAAGCACAATAAAACACTAAATTACCACAATATATCAAAACACTTTACTTTTAAACACTAGACATGCATTTCGCTAACCAGTTTAGTTTTAATCATCTGTTGATAACTTGGTTAGCGAAATGCATGTTCAGTGTTTGAAAGTAAAGTTTTTGGGTGTATGTTGGTTGTATTATACAGGATGACTTTCCTACGATGTTCTCTATGGGCATCTCGGAAACTAATGGAAATAGAGAGTCGGTTAAATGGAAATAAATTGCATTTTTGTGGGGTCATAAATATGCGCCTTTCAGATTTTTGAAAAAGTTCATGGCTTATTAGATATTTCGAAAAAGACAAATTTTGGTTATTTTAAAAATTGTCCCTAATTTTATTATAATCTATTTTTATTTGTATGTAACGTATGTGCGTAATTTAAAAAAAAAACATATTATGGCTTATATCGATGAGAAGCTTAAAATTGGCGCTTTTTATAAAGTCATGGCTAACTATGGTGTCCATTTAAAAAAAAAAGTTTGTGTCATATGTCAAAAATGACAGGCTTTAGAAAAAAAATAGAGGACACAAAGTCATTAGGGATGTGATTATCTACCACTTTTATTTGAAATTTTTTTGTCTAAAATAGATTATAATGGAATTAGGGACAATTTTTAAAATAGTCGAAATTTGTTTTTTTCGAAATATCCAGTAAGCCATGAACTTTTCTGAAAAAATTCATGGCTTAATTTTTTCAAAAATCTGAAAGGCGCACATTTATGACCCCACAAAGCTGCAATTCTTTCCCAATTTAACCGACTCTCTATCTTCAGTAGTTTCCGAGATACCCATAGAGAACATCGTAGAAAACTCACCCCGTATAAACGTGAAAAAATGTAAGACCGCAAAAGCCTTGCAGGCTTAGTCTTGGTCTTATATAGAATGGAGAATGTAGACTGGTATGGGAACAACCGAGGGGTAAACCGCAGAGGGAAAAGTGTACACCGTAATTCCTTTTACTCAAATAATTTCTCAGAATTCCTCGTAATTCCTTCGGAATTCCTTGGAATTCCTGGTCTTCAAGGTCAAGGTCAATCATTCAAGGTCTTCCTTGGAATTCCTTGGTATGAACTCGGTAACTCTTTCAGTCTGAACCAGCGTTGCCACGTCGGTTTCGCAGTTCCGCTATGAATTTTCTGGTGATTTTTATAAATGTCTAATGTCTCTATAAGTACTAGATCTAACTATAAAAAGTACTATTACGAGATTTACGTTTTTTTAGTTAAATTTTAGGACTAATAGGGGATCATGAGGTAAAAATACTGGAAATATGTCGGCACTTACTTATTAAAATTAATTTTTCTCGGAATTTTTTGAAAATGATAGGTACCTAGTTATACTCGTATCTATAGGAAAGGAAATTAATAAAACTTCAGTTGCACGTCATAATACGATCACCAGATTCCATAAGATTACGCATGGTATCATTGATGAAGTGCACCTAAAGTTGTATTAATTTCCCTATAGTATATACCTAGGTATTATTCCGAGGAAATGGAAAAAATCAACTTTACACTTTCTGAGTACTGAATAAAAAAATCTTATGAGGGTTTCTTTAAAATGGCGAAATCAGGGAACGTTATAAGTAGATCTCTCGGGGGTAGTTCGGCCGTACTATTGGAAAATATTTTAGATATATAATCGAGAGTACAATATTAAATTAAAAGAATATCTAACCTGTAGATATTTGATATTGGGAAATTTTGGAAGCGAAAACGAAAAACGGATAGTAAAAAATCGCCTGCAAAACGTTTTTCTTTAAATTTAGTACTACCTATTATAGTATTCATGGTTTACTAATGTTCGTTAATTTTTTATAAAGTTGCTTGTAATTCCTCTTAATTCCTGTGGAATTCCTCTAAATTTCTAAGGAATTCCTTGGAATTCATTGGAATTATTACGGAAATAATTGGAATTCCTAGTAATTCCTATGGAATTCCTTGGAATTCCTCGTAATTCATTGGAATTCCTGTAGAATTCCTTCATAGTGTACACCATAATTCCTCTGCGGTTTACCCCTCGGGAACAACTGATCCCACAGTCTCAGGGCTTGGGTTGGCAAAAGCCCTGAGACTGTTCCACAGAGGCTAGGCTTCTCCATCTACGATATCAGTCGTACCAAAATTTATGGGACGAATAGTTGTCGTTTCGGCGCATTAAGTGATAAGGTGTTCTGGTGTTTCCCCACTTTTGCCACAGAATCTGCAATCGCGGTTAGCTTCAATCTACTGAGGTGTTCATTGAGGAGAGTGTCTTGTTAAAAAAACACCGTGACAAACCGAAGATTGTTCTTACTTAACCCAAAAGGAAAATCTTCTATTTTTATCGGTCCTAAGTTCGGTAGAGTGTCCTAGACCGTTGGACGATTCCGATTCTAGTTTACGGATGCAGTCTTCTAGGATCTTGAGTTCCGATCTAAATTGGTTTCCACTTGGAAAGCAAAACGGTTCTGTCCAGTTAGTGGAATGTTTGCTTCTTTTCTAGCTAGATCTTTTGCTTTTTCTATGCCTTCTATTTCTTGGTGGGCGGCACAATAGTTCCTATTATTTATGAGCATTACAATTATTTTTAGTGAATCGAAGCACACGATTCAATTTTCATATCAAATCGACTCCTATGATTCGTTCATTTGAACGAACCACATGCAAAATTTACGTTTCATAAAAACAAGAGTCGTAACTGGCACTACCGGCGATAATTTAGTCGGACAATTACTTAAGGAACCAGAAAAAGAAATATACCTACAGTTCTTTCATTTGTTGTTCAACACTTTATGGCACTCGTGTAAGAACACGATTTTGTCTTTTAGTCCGATATTTAATGGTTTATAGTCGATAAATATTATATTAACAAAAATATTAACGTGAAAATTAAATACATTACAGATACTCCCGTACTAAGCACAGTATAAATAAGTTTTTTTTTCTTGTAAATTTTTCGTTTGCATTTTATGCCCATGATGTTTATTTAGGGCTTTACGACACTCTCTATATCTATATCACCGCAGCGCATGCCGTAGAAACAAACCAGTTGCATTGTAATCCGATTCAATTCTTACGACTCTTTTTTACGGCTCATCGTTCAAATCTTATAGATCCCTGCTGGCCACGATTCAATTGAACGAACCGAATTGTAAGCAATGAATCAATCCTCATGACTCTTTAAACGATCGAGCCGAAGAAACAAACGATCGCATTGTGATCCGATTCAATTCTTACGACTCTTTTTTACGGCTCATCGTTCAAATTTTATAGATCCGTGCTGGCCACGATTCAATTGAATGAATCGAATTGTAAACAATAAATCATTTCTCACGACTCTTTGAACGAACCAGCCGTAGAAACGAACGATCGTATTGTGATCCAACTCTTTTTTACGGCTCATCTTTCACATCTGATAGATCCGTGCTGACCACGATTCAATTGAACGAACCGAATAGTAAGCAATGAATCAATTCTCACGACTCTGAACGAACGAGCCGTAGAAACAAACGATCGCATTGTGATCCGATTCAATAATTCTCACGACTCTTTTTACAACTCTTTCGTTCAAATTTTATGAATCCGTGGGTACGTATGGCTTTTATGAATCCGGTATGTATGTATGGCTAGCTGCATTATGTGTATATGTCATGAGAGCGATAATAATCTGTAGTTGGTGTTTCTGTTTATATTGTGTCTGCCGTTTTTCAATAAAATTTTACGTTTTGCGTTTACTCTTGGTTTATTCTCAAGCCGAGTCTCTGAACAATAATACAACACCGTGCTGGCCACGGTTCAATTGAACGAATCGTGTTCTAAGCAGTGAATCGAATCTCACGATTCATTTTTAATGCTCGTTCAAGGGAACGCCGAACGACTCGTTCCATTTTTGCCTACCTCTAGTTCCTATCTAAGTTATACGCGTGCACATTTTTCGATAGCGTAGATTTCTGCCTGAAGGATGCTGGAGTAGGGCGCCCATTGGTTCGGAGCATAGACTTAAAAATAAAATATAGACTACACTATTTACATTTCAACGCGGACAAACAACCTTTTTTGTACACATGTTTACTTCTGGGTACAGTCGACCGAGCCTTCCTCATCCAGCCTATGTTGTCACGTCTTTAATATTATCAATATTTTTTTTCTTGTTGTACACATTTATTGAGATATTAATACTACAGTTTAATAAAGTAAGTTTTAATATTCCATAGATGTATTAAATAGTCCTTATACTACTAAATTATAAGTCGGATACTGTTTCATAAGGATAAGTTCTTTACAATATGACAACACCGATTAGAGGCGAGGGAGCCTATTCATTCATTTATTGTTGCCGCTATCTCCCCGGCTGTATTAACGCATTTTCTTAGCTTGTAGTCCTTAAGTGTTTATTTTATTGACTTTTTCTGTTCAAAAACTATAAAATATGGTTCGCCAGTGCCAAATTTGCAAGAAATTTGACTTAAATAATCCATTTAACTCTTGAAACGACTTTTGACCGGTAGGCAACTCTCAATTTATCCATTGGGAGTCAGTGGCGTTGTTGTAGAAAGGCGCTTATTTAGATAATATTTTAGTAAAATGTAAAATCTGAATTTTTTCTCTCACATTACATTATTTACTTACTTACATTGTAACAAAATCATAATTATAACCCTGTTAATAATTCTATAACGTGTATTTTATTATTTTTATCCTTTTTGGACTCTAAGACGTTTTTTCTAAACTTTTATTTAAAAAACCTGTCCTAAATCTTAATAAAATATAAAAAAGTTTAAATACGATATATTTTTAATTTAATTATAGCTTCATTAAAATAAAAAAAATTACCCGGCTATGAGACGGAGAGCTCAGGTGTACTTGAGAAACGAAAGACAGTGTTGTGTTTCTCGGCAGAGTCGTCAGGGAACGACCGTTACGACAGAGGCAACCTATCTATCGCTCGTGTCGCACTCGTTATAACCTAAAACAATAACACAACAATAACAAGATATTGTCTGACCGCATGTTCCAGCTATTTATGAATGAGATGCTCAGTCTATATTTTATTTTAAGTCTATGGTTCGGAGTATTTAGTTTGCACCCTGCTCTGCTTCTGTAGGATGCAAACTAAATACTGTTCCTGTTTTAGTTTTAGAACCATCAGTAAGTATACCACGTTATGGTATGACCTTTTACCAGATGAACAAACGTTTCTCTCTTCCAATCCTTTTTATTGTTCAATACTACCAACTCAATCCTACTACTGCTACTCTGCCATTACTCGCTGACAAGTCACGCATCGGAAGATGGTCACGCAAGGCGTTTTCTTTCATGAGATTTTCTGTGACTGAAAAGCCCCATATGTGATTTGCCTACCGCACTCCGGACATTATTCAAAAATCTCATTGCTTTGTTGCCTCTTTACTTTTTGGTTGGAGCTATTAACTGAGTTTACAATTCTTCGCCATTGAGTTCTATTGTGAACTAAAAACTCACCGTAAAGCAGAGATTTTGGTATGCGGTTTTCTTGCATTCTGCATACGTGACCAGCCCATCTTAAGCGGAATTTTGTAACCATGACTACAATACTCTCGCAGTTAGCTTTTTCAAGGACCGATACGTTTGAGACATGATGGAACGACCGGATTCTTAAGAGTTGTCTAAGGTGTCTCTGTTGCAACTTGTTTAAAGCTTGATTTTCATGCATCCGTTATCCGACGATACGATGATACTATATTAATTTTATTGGTCTAATTTAAAACTTCGATTGATTAGTAATGGTTAACCAATTGAAGTCTTTAAATTCAACCAATAAAATTAATATCGTATCATCGTATCGTCGGACAACGGATGCATGAAAATCAAGCTTAATGCGTTCATGTGTCGGCGGTACGGCACCCAGGTTTCGCTCCCATATAACATGGTGAGGATTATAATTGCTCGGTACACTGCAAGTTTCGTTATTGCACCCCAACTCAATCCAATCCAATACGAGAATCCAAGAAATTTTCCTAAACGTTGTACATTCTTGATATATCATCAACTGGGAGTATATCAACAACGGAGGAGTATAATTTTTCTTTTGAGTATATTCTAAGACCCATTCTTGATCTTGGACTTGCGGAAATCTAGCACTGGTCGGTCTTGCAGACCAAGACCAGTCTTGCTCATCATTATGGCCACTGTAGATATTTAACAAGCCTATTCTTATTAAGCACAAAAACAATTTTGTCTACATTGATATTAAATTTTATTTTAAATACCTACCTTCCCGAACAATAATAATCCGATGTATTGGCTATACAACCAATTGTATTACCAGTGCATTCTTCCTCGCAATATTCACCCTTCCTAAAAAATAAAAATTTATATTTTTTATAATATAATACTTAAAATTTTTTTTATGGTGCCCGGTGGCGTAGAGGTACAGGCTCTCGTCTACCAATCTCAAGGTAGTGGGTTCGAATCCTACACCCGGCATTTCATCAGCCGACTATTTTTATTAAAATAAAAATAGTTTGGGTACCTAGGTCGACTCAACCTTAAGTGAGTACTTGGGATTCACAATCCTGAGGTAATAATAAGCGGTTGAAGCGTAGTGCTAGCCACATTACTTTCCTTGCATACCGGACGGCTCTAGCATAGCAAGCTGTACCTTGCTACTCCCAATGCGTTAAACGCTATATACGGGAGCTATTATAATTACAATACCGGGTGCGTCTCAAATGTGGCTCACCCCAATCACTTTTTTATTTTTAAGATAAAAAAACAGATTTAACATGTTAGATTATGACAGATATACATACTTTACTTTATTCGATAGAAAAAATGATACTCTGAATAGAATGACATATCATGTCATACATGTCAAAAGTTGACGTATGATATGGCATTCTATTCAAAGTGTCATTTTCTATCGAATAAAGTACAAACATATCAAAGGTGTCATTTAAAAATCAAAAGTTATAGTCATTTCCGGTGAAAAAGGAAGTGACCGAAAACAATTCAATACGTCAATCAATCCCAATTTATGTCATATACTAACATGAACTGAAAACATATAAAAGTTATAAAGGTGACCAATTTTGAGACACAAAGCGTACGTAAATATATTTTGACATTTTCTATATCAACATTACATAAATAATCACTCATTGACAAAATTACCTAGGGTAAAAAGTAAATTACCTAAGATAAGAAATGCAAAAGGTATTATAATTTTATTTAATTTAATTTATATTTCCATAGTGTTATCTTAATAAACTGCACTGAAAATAAACTTGTGCAGCCTTTAATATAACACGCCGTCGATCAGTCATTGATATTTTTAATACACTTATGCAATAATTTTTCACACAGAAACGACCATGGAATAATAACCAGAATTTGACGCCGAATAAATTATTCGATTCTTTTGATTACCTTATTTATTATTACCTAATTTTAGAAAGCTCATATCAAGGCAAATAAAATTTAAAAAAATATATATAAGCGATACCAATTAAACTTTTAGTTGCGTAATTAAAGGCGCGACTTTTAAATTGATTGTTGCCAACCATATACATATTCGGTGCCGGGCTGACTATCTGGAATTTAAATGTTTCTCTGGGGATTCAGGTGGTAGCTCTGCTGTAAAAAATATCGGGTTACCACATTTATTTATTTATTTCTTGCCATTTTCATTAATTTTGACACTTTAATTTTGTATTACGAGTTTTCGGTTTAAATAAATTATGTTGTAATACTTTTTTATTTTTACCATTTTTTTATATCTTGCAGTCGAAGATTGTTCTTTTTAGAACCTCCCTTAAGTGTACAAGATAGCTTAATAGCCGTTGTAAAAGGCTCATCGCAATCTTATTAGAATATTTTGAACGGGAAAGCGGTAGTAATGGCCCTTTATGTCCCTTAAGGGCTGTTAAGGAGGTGAGTTTTGTTGGCGTAAAAAATAACTGTAAAGATTTAAAAGTGGGCGCAACGCTGTGCCGGTCAAGCTTAATCACGTGACTAAAAGTTTATTTGATCTAAACCAGATCTAAAGTATATAAGACATTCCTTAAAAAAAGATAAGTTTTTGATCACATTTAAAAAATGACAGCTCCCAGCGAAAATCTAGTTAAGGCAATGTATTCTACGTGAAAAACTCTACGGAACTCAGTTTTCACCTTTTGATTAGTTACGTAAAAACTCTATTTTTCTATGCTACGTTTTCTTTATCTGACGTAAAATAAACAAACACTTCAAAGCCCGGAGCGCAATGGAATTTCGAACGTAAACAACAAGCTCAAAATTCATGGTACCTGCACTTTTAAAAAAGGCTTCAAATATCAATCAATACAGTATCACTAGAAGCTAGGGAGCCGCACCCCACTTTTGCTCCTTTGCTTCCCCGCATGCGCATGAGTTATACAAAATCGATCGGGTATTTCGCGTGCATATAAATACAAAAAAAACTCACAACAAAGACACAAATTGTTCTTGATTGAATTATTTTTATTTTACTTTATTATTTTCTATAGTTAGCCATGAAGATTAGTTAGTCCTGTAGCGTAGTTAGCCTTGACAAGTAGTTAGTCCCGTAGCGTAGTTTCTATTAACTTGTGTATTTTTTTAGCCTGTGTGGCATTTTGATAGCCTGTGTGGCTTGTTTTTTAGCCTATGTGGCATTTAATAGCCTGTGGGGCATATTTTTTTTAATAGTCTGTGTGACTAGCCTGTGTGGCGTGTTTTTTAGCCTGTGTGGCATTTCGATAGCCTGTGTGGCATATTTTTTTAATAGTCTGTGTGATTAGCCTGTGTGGCATTTTGATAACCTGTGTGGCTTGTTTTTTAGCCTGTGTGGCATTTGATAGCCTTGGCATATTTTTTAATAGTCTGTGTGACTAGCATGTGTGGCATTTTATTATTTTATTTAAACTTATATTTTTAGATTGGACTATTAATAAATTATTCAAGTATCTGTTTAATTTTATTCACTTAAATTCACTTTATTTTAATAATAACTGGTAACATTGTTGCTCACACCATGTTTTTTCTTTAATTACAGGTAGGTCATCTCGGTAGCCAGGTCATACAAGACTTTTGCTGCTATACAACATTTGTCCATTTGCAGCGCCCTGATCAAAGTTCGCTATTACTATTAGTAACGTACCATCTATTAGTATTGTGGTTATTTTATATTATTAGTTGTATTTTATTCTACAATATTTACGCCCTTTAAATTTGTTTTATGGTTTTTATTTTTAAGTTTGAGTTGACCGCTTGAAAAAAACTTTTTGGCCCCTTACACTTTTAAGATAACCGAGATACATGCAGGGGATGGAAAAATGTAGTATTTTTAAATTCTCCCTGCATTTCAAAAAACAAGAAGACTAGGACAAATCTGTGTGTTGCACCTTTAGATTCATAAAAATGTAGCATAGTAAAGTGAAAACCGCGTTTTTGAACCGTTTGAATTCTGGTTATTCATCCATAAGCAAGAAACCGTGTAAACACACAAAAATGTACAGTTGAAGCAAAATTTACAGAATATAAATCTGCAAATTTTGGGAAGAGTATCCAAATTTCTTTTCCTCAAATCGGTCATTTATTTACAGCAACAGAAATTCAATTTTGACATAGCATTCAGCACTTTGAAATTTATATATTTTATTGTTCTGTGTATTGTAAAGTGATATTAAATTTGAAGAGGCATAATTATATATAAGATAGATTTAATGTGTAAATAATAATAGGGATATGTAAATATTTTACCCTTATTTTGTAATTTGTTACGTACGTTGGTAAGTGGAAAGGAACCAGCTAAATATAACAGAGGCCAGTCTATTTCTGTAGGTTGAAGAATATAATGTAAATAATATAATTTTATATTATATATTATTATATTTTATTATTTTATTATTTTTTAATTCGAAAAGCCTATACTGATTTTATCGCTCTTGTTCATTGAATAATAATGAAGGTATTATATTTCCTGTATACAAGTACTTAGAGGTAGTTTAGATATAATACTTACCATCCTCCATCGCACTTGCACTGATCACAATCATTAATTCCATGTATACATGTTTTAATATTCTTTAAATTTGTACATTTACATCTACCAACAGTCTCAATGCGTACGAATATTTCTTCATTAATGTTCTTTTCTCGTATTATAAGTGTCTTAAAAAACAAATAAAATCACTTTAAAGAAAATATCATAATCTACTAGTACACATCAAAACACTTATTTCAAGTGGAGAGGCAAGCTTTTGATAAATATGCATCTTCAGTAGATTATGAAAACTAAATTCTTATATAAAATCGAGAATTATATATATTATTATATAGTATTATTACCGATCAATTTTATTATCCACACTTGACAAAATCTCGTAATAATATATATATAAAATATATTATATTATATAATATGCTCTAGTATAATACAGGGTCCGGCAATAATGCGTCGGGCATCTGTAGCTCCTAGAATAAGAAACTTCAGAATTTTGTTTAAGTGCAGACCTAAAGTAGGTACCAGGATGTATTTCCGGAAAATATTTTAACTTCTATAGGGTGGCTCAAAAAAGTGTAAGTGGATCTGGATGATTTTTTTTAAATGGAACACCCTGTATATTATTGCATTTTTGGCTTCCTTTCAGATCATTTTACATAATCCTAAGAATAATAGAAGTAAATCTATTTTGATAGTTTCAGAGATATTAAAAAATAAATCAAAAATATATATTTTTCAACCCTTCTTATTTTATATTTTAGAAAGTTTGGCGTAGAATTTTGAACATCCAGTACGTGTTACAATTTCCATATTTATAGCGAGGTAAGTACAGACCATCTAAAGTAAATATCTAATATATCTTTGATTTCAGGACAGTTCTTGTATTATTAATAATTTTTTTAAGAAAGGCTGAAAAATATATAATTTTTATTTATTTATTAATATCTCTGAAATTATCGAAATATATTTGGTCATGTCTTAGGATTATGTAAAGTGACCTGAAAGGAAGCCAAAAATGCAATCATATACCGGGTGTTCCATTTAAAAAAAATCATCCCGATCCACTCACACTTTTTTGAGCCACCCTATAGAAGTTAAAATATTTTCATGAAATATATCCTAGTACATACTTTAGATTTGCACTTAAACAACATTCCCAAGTTTTTTTATTCTAGGAGCTACAGATGCCCGACGCACTATTGCCGGACCCTGTATAATAAAAGATTGTAATAATAAGTCAAGCAAACTTGAGCAACTGGAACAGAGAATTAATCCTGATAATATAATCTATAAATATTTCGCTCATTTTTGACAAGGACGACACATCTCAAAAAAGCTCACTTTTGGGAAACAGCGATTAAATGTTCATGAAGGAGTAGAATGCTATCCATGTATGGTAATCGCAAAACAATTTCCGATGCACGTGATCAAATTTGAGTGAAAAGCGATGGCGACAGCGCTGCCAGATTGTGATAGATTTATGAGATGAATCTTAATATAAAATTGACAAACAACATATTTATAATTTTTAAAGAGTTTTACGTTTTATTTTTAATTTAATTAATTTTAAGTTTTATTCATACGAGGGCAAATCAAAAAGTATTTTGTAAATAATTATTAAAAATGGCTCCTGTTGATAAATGCAAAGTATGCGAGGAGAATATTCGAACAAATTCTCCAGCAATAAAATGTAACCACTGTGATTGTTGGATACACAAGAAATGCACAGACCTTACAAATGAGGAGTTTACAAAATTGGCCTCTACGTCTAAGAAACACTCTCATAAATGGGTTTGTTCCATTTGTCTTAGTACTGAAGTTAGTATTATAGTCAATGAGCAAGATGTCGTAACAAATAATAAAACCGGTATTGACAAAATGGAAGCTCTTTTTTGTAAATACTTCTTGCCTTTTAAGATCGAGATTGGAAAGACCCTTACTGACATAAAGAGCAATATTAGTTTGGTTTTAGAAGAAAACCAAAGATTAAAAGAGGAAAACCAGGCCATGTGGAACAAGTTGAATCAACTTGAAAGAGACTACAACACCAATAGTAATGCCCTGCCATCCGAAGGAGTTATCAGTGAAATTAATGAGCGAAAGAGAAGAGAGTCGAATGTTATAGCTTTCAATGTTCCTGAATCTCGTAGGCAAACCAAAGAAGAGAGAAACGAGGAGGATTACAACTCTATTTACAAAGTCTGTTTTATCCTGCGGGATAATGGTACTGCTATGTCAATTATAATGCCCGTTTTATTGATCTTATCGATAAAAAGAATGGCGGGTCTATTGTGGTCCACTGTCTGATCGGTTATAATTGGTCTGTCCCAATATAAAACAGCATACCTAGATTCCAGGACGGGTTGCGGGGAGTACTTGTAGTAGGGAGATTTTATGGCAAGTTGTTGATGAATAATTTTGGCAAGTTGATTATGACGTCCAAGATACGCATTATCTGCTAAGGTAGAGCAACCAGACGTGATATGTTCTATTGTCTCCCCTCTCATAGAGCATTTTCTACATACATCAACTACGTCTTGTTTTAAAATGTTCTTTTCATAGTTTCTTGTCCTCAACTCCGTCTTGGATGGCCATCATGAAACCCTCGGTCTCAGGAGACAATTTTCCGTCTCTAAGCCAGGCCAATGACGAATGAAGCCCTTCAGTTGAACCCCTTCAGACTGAAGCGACTTTGGATACCTGCCATGCAGAGCGCCGTTTTTCCATCCTGCAACACGCTCCTCTATGGAGATGGGTTTGTCAACTAAAAACGGCAACTTAAATTGAGAGGAGTGTAACCTTTATCCTGAGCCACGATTAGCCTCATTATTGCACAGTTGGAGGACATAAATCGCTGCCTCATGTCATTTTTCTGTTTTAGGCATAGATCTTTTATGTTTAGCAGGCCTCTCCCACCCATCCTACGAGAAACATACAGCCTATATACAGATGAGTTTGTATGCAGATTTCTAAATTTTGTTAATTGTCTACGGGTAAGGCGATCGAGATATTCAAGGTCGGTATTTGACCACTTGACCACTCCAAAGGAATAAGTTAACACCGGTATTGCCCAAGCGTTTATAGCTTTGATCAGGTTATGTCCAGATAATTTTGTATTTAAGAGCTTCATTAGCCTGGTGTTATATTTCTCACGAATATTCCTTTTAATTGTTGTGTGATCAATTGTTGAATTTTGGGCTAGTCCCAGGTATCGGTAAGTATCTTTTGGCGGAAGCTGCTTAATGTTACATATGACTTGTTGCCGATCTTCAATTTTACCCCTTTTGATGTTGACAGTATCACATTTGTCAAAGCCAAAGGACATACGTATGTCCATGCTGAAGACTTGAACAGTTTCTATTAAATAGTTGAGTTTACTTGGTGTTTCCCCATACAGCTTCAGGTCGTCCGTGTACAATAAATGGTTCAGTCTCTTTCCGTTTCCTTGGTCGATCTTGTAACCAGCGGTTGTGTGGTTAAGCAGTGTTGACATAGGGTTCATTGCCAGACAAAACCAGAGTGGTGAAAGCGAATCCCCCTGGAAAATGCCCCTTTTGATTCGTACTGTACCGATATGTCGGTTTGGCAGCTTAAGGTCAGTTCGCCACTGTCGCATTAGGTGTCCGAGCGTATTTATAATTCGGGGGCACACTTTATAGATGTCCAGAATTCTAAGTAACCAGTCATGAGGGACCGAGTCAAAGGCCTTGCTGTAGTCAATATATGAGATGTTAAGGTTCTTTTGCTTTTTTTGCACTTGTTTTAGTATAACAGAATCTATAGTCAATTGTTCTTTGCAGCCCAAGGCTGCTCTGATACACCCTTTTTGTTCTGCTTCAAATATTTGGTGTGTTTGGCAATGTTGATAAAGTCTCTCGTTTATTACAGCCGTAAATAACTTATAAATTACAGACACACATGTGATAGGTCTGTAATTTTTTGGGTCCTTGGGATCGCCCTTCTTGAATAACAAGACGGTGTTTGGAGAGAAATTCTGGGAAAATGTGTGGATCATCAAGCGCCTGCGTGAAACATCGGGCCAAAGCACCGTGGATAGCTGGGAATCGTTTGAGCCAGAAGTTCTGTATCCTGTCCGGTCCCGGTGTCTTCCAATTTTGGGTTTTCTTAATGGCTGCGGTGATGTCTTCCTTCAAAAATGTATTGACTACCATTCTAGGCACATTCAGAACTTTATCTTCGATGGTACTTATCCAATCAACATCATGATTAAATCTCTCCGACTCGGCCCATACTCCTGACCAGTAATTGCCAAAAGCTTTGACGTCCACCTCAGCAGTATCTTGTTCTACTGCAGACTCATTCTCTAGCTTTCTAAAAAATTGTTTCTGGCTTTTTAGGAACTCGTTATTCTGTTTCTTTCTTTTATCTGTTGCATTGAGTCTTGATAGCCTTGCTCCTTTAGCTTTATACTTTTGGCGGTATGTATCTTGTAGTTCTATAAGCTTTTGTAGATAGTTGGGTTGGTTTTCATATATTTTGGCTCCTTCTGCAATTGTCCTGACTTTTTGGTGGACTTTTTTGGAGGGTTTGTCTTTTAAAAACTCAGCAATTAGATCGGCCCTGTCTCGTAGTTTATCGATGGTCTTCTCAAGTTTTCTTCTCCAGGCTGGTATCTGGCCAAGCCTATTATGGGATATTGCTCGGGGATAATAAGTCGACTGCCCATTGTGCTGCACAACCGTTACAACTGCACAGTAGAGGGCCAAGTGAACGTATTCTAATCATTTATCCGGTGTAGTGTAGGCTTCCAGTAGAGCATTAACACTCTTTATTATGCCTTGGGCTTTTCGAGCGTTCTGAAGAACAGGTACGGCAGGCCTCTCTAAGGGGCAGGTATTAATGTACATTGCCAGTAAACTTTCAAAAGTTTCAGCCAACTTTCCTTTAGCAACTTCATTTTGATTATCTGGAGGTACCTGGTTCTCTGCCTCTTGCTGTGTTCTGTCCACCTGCTCCTCAGGAGTACCTTCGTCTCGGTGAAATATGTTTCTTTCATTATCTCCATATTCTTGTTCTTGTTGAAGGATGTTACCAACTTCTCTTTTGATATTTTGAAGTTCATCAACGGTCAGATACTGTTTACTCAATATAACGCGTTTCCTATCGACGACGTTCTGTTCCGACACTTGCAAATCTGGGTGTCTTC